TTTCATATGCACATTCACCGAACCTTTCTTAATAGTTTTATAGTCGTCACTGACGAAATCCGATCGTGAATCATATGAGCTGAGTTTGTGCTCCGCCGAAGCTTTTAGACTGACTTAACGAACCTTTTTGGTTCGACTGAACCCGGGTTAAGAACCGCTGCTCTAAACTCGATTTTCTTTTTTGTAATCCTTTCGGCTTCCTAAGGAGCATAGGCATAGGAACTACTTCGTTACTTACATAGGCTTAGAGTACGCTTTTTATCGTTGCTGATTCTAATATAAACGGCATGGGAAGTGCCGTTATCATTAAATCGGTTATTACAGCTTCTTCAACCAGTACAATTAGTTCTGCATTTTTGTTGACTATGTGCAAGAAAGGCAGCGCACATCTGCGAAATCTAGGACTTCGAGTTATTGTTTCCATTGGATTCTAGTTTGTTTCCTCTAGCTTGTTTCATGATACAATCAACCAGCCAACGAAATACCCATGTCGTATTCCAATAAATGTTTCTAATAATTTGCTATTGTAATGTCACTTGTATAACTTTATTCTAACAAACTTATAATTCATCTATGTACCATATCATAACAGAGACTGTTACAAAGATAGAACATAAAGAGACTGGCTTAAACGTATAAGCGCCTGCTAAAAACTAATTAATTAACCCCATAAATGCATGACTTTTTAATAATGATTGAAAAAAATATCTTTATATTGTTTTGGTAGGTATATGAAGAGTATAGTCAAGTAAAAAAATATTTTTTGTTTATACATGTTCTTTAATTAAAATCCGAAATGTTGCATGTCTGCAACATTATGTAGTAAGGTGATACTTTTTAAGACAGTTGTTGATCTTGTTACAACAAAGATATATGTTGCACTTGTGACAAACTGAGCTTGATGTGAATTTGCACCTGTCATTGCACTATTCCACGAGACTTAGTGTCCACACAGGTCCAGGAGATCCAGGGTCCATTCTGGTCCTAGAGATCCAGGGTCCACAATTATCCAGGGTCCACACTGGTCCAGGATATCTAGGGTCCACACTGGTCCAGGATATCCAGAGTCCACACTGGTCCAGGATATCTAGGGTTCACACTGGTCCAGAATATCTAGGGTCCACACTTATCCAGGGTCCACACTGGTCCAGGAGATCCAGGGTGCACACTGGTCCAGGAGATCCAGGGTCCACACTGGTCCAGGATATCTAGGGTCCACACTTATCCAGGGTCCACACTGGTCCAGGAGATCCAGGGTGCACACTGGTCCAGGAGATCCAGGGTCCACACTGGTCCAGGATATCTAGGGTCCACACTGGTCCAGGAGATCCAGGGTCCACACTGGTCCAGGATATCTAGGGTCCACACTGGTCCAGGAGATCCAGGGTGCACACTGGTCCAGGAGATCCAGGGTCCACACTGGTCCAGGATATCTAGGGTCCACAGTGGTCCAGGATATCTAGGGTCCACACTGGTCCAGGAGATCCAGGGCCCAAACTGGTCCAGGATATGTAGGGTCCACACTGGTCAAGGATATCTAGGGTCCACACTTATCCAGGGTCCACACTGGTCCAGGATATCTAGGGTCCACAGTGGTCCAGGATATCTAGGGTCCACACTGGTCCAGGATATCTAGGGTCCACACTGGTCCAGGATATCTAGGGTCCACACTTATACAGGGTCCACACTGGTACAGGAGATCCAGGGCCCAAACTGGTCCAGGATATCCAGGGTCCACACTGGTCCAGGATATCTAGGGTCCACACTGGTCCAGGATATCCAGGGTCCACACTGGTCCAGGATATCTAGGGTCCACACTGGTCCAGGAGATCCAGGGTCCACACTGGTCCTGAAGATTCAGGGTCCACACTGGTCCAGGATATCTAGGGTCCACACTGGTCCATGAGATCCAGGGTCCACACTGGTCAAGGATATCTAGGGTGCACACTGGTCCAGGAGATCCAGGGTCCACACTGGTCCAGGAGATTCAGGGTCCACACTGGTCCAGGATATCCAGAGTCCACACTGGTCCAGGATATCTAGGGTTTACACTGGTCCAGGATATCTAGGGTCCACACTGGTCCAGGAGATTCAGGAAGATACTCTGGATCACCAAGAGCATCTACTTCATATTACTCTTCACCTTGATTCACATTGATTATATTAATGATTATGCTGAAACTAGAAGAAAAACAAGGTACTATATAATCACCAATGCTGATGAATAAAGTAAAAAAAAAATGCAAAAGTAGGCCAATTTGCATAACGTTGCAGCACTGCAACCAAAGTTTTGTGAAGATTTTAAAATAAATTATGAATTGATTTTCAAAACAACACATACAATATGTAATACATACCTTAGGTTGTCAGAAACATATTTTTTGAAATTCCAAAACCAGTTTATTTGACTTTGATGAACTTTGAAACGCCAACCAAAAATGCTGATATAAAAGACCTTGTGATCATGCACACATTTGAGATTGGTGGTAAAACAAATCTAGGTCACTTAGACATGCGCAAGCTGTAGGTTAACATTGTAGCAGTCAAACAACGTGATGCACAGAATAAAACATGTTTAGGCTAATATTTTATGGGAGGGTAACTGGTATGTTGCAGATTTGTACCGGTATGCATTTAAGGGTTAAAAACTCGTATAATTCTGCCAGGGGAGGTAATTTAAAAAGAAATTCTACTCACGCTAATAAAAAAAATATGAATGCTAATTCCGCGGACGTCCCTATAAGACATTATTGTTAGAATATTATAATTATCATGGATTGATAAAATGCACTGTGGTAGGTAAACACGGATATTTTAAATACTGCCTTTTAATTATTTTGTGGACAAGTTGGGGTATTATAGTCGTTTTCTAAGTTGAATCAGGCGGTTCCGCCGGCGCCCCGGCATGGTGCGATTTGGCGCCCCCGGCTAGACTGAGCACTATGCGTTTATTTTTGTATTTAAGCTGTGCTTATGCGCTAGCATTTGTATTTGCGCTTGCATCGTGTTTGTGTTTGCATTGTTTTCGCGTGTGCGTTTGTGTTGTGTTTACTTTTGTGTTTGTATTTACGTTGTGTTTGTGTTTGCATTTGTGTTTGTTTTGTTATGTTCCTAAGTTGGCACATTCAAAAAAGATTCACGGTGGGGAGCAGGGGTATGCAGCTAGTCTATAATATAAGGCTGATGGAAGTGTGACAGTCATTCCTTCCTTCCGTCACAGCTATGGATTTAGAACCATAAAAGTGAACAACAACATACTTGCATCGCAGTGTCTTATTAAGAATAACTGGGTAGGGTTTATTTATACAACAATTTTGTATGTAGTTGCCACTGATTTTAGTCTTTCGCATAATGTGAGGAAAATATTCAATACACACATACATAGCTACAACCTATTAAACGGACCAATGTTAATAAATATTTCGCTTAGATTCTTAGAAAAATTTGATACATTTTAATAAGGGTAGGGTAAAAAGTAATTACTGAAAATTATGCAAGGAGAGGTAAGTTAAAAAATAATTTAATAAAAAACGTTTAAATAACAAGCTTTTATGTTCTAATGCACTAAAAAGTAGAAAATAAATTATAGACTACTATTTAAATAACTATAAAGAAATGCGTGGGTCACTTTAGTATCTATGGAATACCTTTACTAATGTTTAGGAAGAGACACACGCAGAGTTTCTTCCAGGCATCTCTTCGGGGGGGGGGGGGGGGGCTTAGTCCCCCCCCCCCCCGAAAATTTTTTACCGCCCCCCCCCGAACGAAATGAAATTTATATAATTTATATAGAAAATATATACTTTTAACAGTGTCCGCCCCCCCCCACCGAAGAAAGTTTACCGCCCCCCCCCCCCCCCGAAAATTTCAAGTGCCCCCCCGGAGAAAAAAGTCTGAAAGAAACACTGGACACACGCTTTTCTTTATTGTTATTTAAATAGTAGTCTATTATTTATTTTCTACTTTTTAGTTCATTAGTACATACAAGCTTGTTATTAAAACGTTTTCTATGAAATTTTTTTAGTACTTTACATGTTTTTATTTACAATAGAGTTACATGACTAAAAACCATTGCGCACCTCTTAAACGTGATGACGCGCTATTGAACATGATGAACGCATGTGGAGCAGTTGGTTAGAACTGCTTACTAATTTGGTCAAAATTTTAATCAATTCATAAAAAAAATTAATTAGGCATCCTATTAAGTCAAATATAATGTCACGGTGCATTGTCTTCATGTTTTGACCCACGTTCCAACACTATGAATCGTATCTGTCAGTTAGAAGTGTCCTAAATTTCGCTCGGGCGTTTCGATCTAGACGGACGACTGACGACAGAGGAAGTGAGTTAAATAAAAGCTTGTAAAAAGAAATTCAACTCACGGTAATAAAAAAAATGTGAATGCACATTCCGCCGAAGGTCCAATAATACATTATTGTTGGAATATTATAATTAGCATGGATTGATAGGGGGCAATATGGTAGTTAAGACACGGATATTTTAAATACTGCCTTTTATCTATTTTATTCACTGAACGCACTGCTAATTAATTATTAATTTAATTCAATAAGAGTTTAGAATCCGCTCCTAAATCTCCTCTATGTTTACTTCTATCTTTTAGGTTAGCGGACAAGCTGGGGGTTTAATAGTCGGTCAATAATTGGATCAGGCGGTTTCGCCAGCGCTCGGGCAGGGTTCGCTTTGGCGCCCGCCTAGACTGTGAACACTATGCGTTTGTGTCTGCATTTAAGTTGTGTTTATGTTATTGGTATTGCGTTAGCGTTTTCGTTTTTATTTGTGTTTTTTTTTTGCGCTTACATTTGAGTTTGCGTTTGCATTATTTGTGTATACGTTTTCTTTTGTGTTTGTGTTTACTTTTGTTTTTCTTTTGTGTTTATGTTAGTGTTTGCGTGTTGCGTTTGTGTTTGTGTTTTAGTTTGTGTTTTTGCGTTTGCGTTTGCATTTGTGTTTGCGTTTGTGTTTGTGTTTTCTTTGTGTTTGTGTTTAGTTGTGTTTTGTTCCCTTGTTGGTACATTTAAAAAGATTCACCGTGGCGGAGCACGGGATGTTGAAAAACATTACATGTTTAGATATTGAAAAACTTTACATTTCCAGATGTTGAAAAATTGTACATGTTTAGATGTTGAAAAACTGTACATGTTCAGAAGTTGAAAATCTTTACATGTTCAGATGTTGAAAATCTTTACATGTTCAGATGTTGAAAATCTTTACATGTTCAGATGTTGAAAAACGAATCGAACTGAGTGCAAGACCGATGTCAATAACTGTGGGAGAAACGGAGACATTTTCTGTAACTTGCAGTACAGACCCTAACCCTAACCCTAACCCAGCCGACCAGAGAGGCCAGGCCCTGCAGTACAAGCCTCTCAGTCTTGAAATAGACAAACACGATGGCCAAAGTCGGAGAAGACTGGCTGTACTGTCTGCGATACACGGCGCTATGCCAATAAGGGATCAGCTTACAGAGAATGCTCACATTAGCGGATCAGTACCTGATCAGGTAAGTAAAACAGTTGCCTACCTGTTGACCAGTTGAGTAAAGCACAATACCCTAACCCAAGCCAATCTAATAGAACACAGCACGTTACGATGCAATGCCAGAAAAACAAAACCGTACCGTACCGTACCGTACAGTACCGTACCGTACTGCATGTCATAAATAAAATCAACTAGTCTGTGTGTAAGAAACTTTGAATGTCCCCCAGTCCATATTAGCGAAGAGATACAAAAGGATGTTGTTTTTCAATAACGATAACCAAATTTTAAGACGAAAATCATATTCGTCGAGCCTGCTAAGAGGCTGCTACTAAAGCTGGAAATTATTGATGCTATTGGACATTTTAGATATTGATGTTTGACATCACCACCACACGTGAAAAACAAAACATTTGTAAAGAGATCAAAATGAATGTACGGTACAAAAGACTTCTATGTAGTTTTGCAACATTAATGTTATGATGTCAGCCTAACTCTAGTTAGCTCTAGATCCTTCGTTAGTTTGGGTTATTGTGTTTGGTTAGGGTTAGGGTGTTGGTTTAGGGGTAGGGTATTGGGTTAGGGTTACGGTGTTGGGTTAGGGTTACGGTGTTGGGTTAGGGGATTGGGTTAGGGGATTGGGTTAGGATGTTTTGGTAGTGTGTTGGTTTAGGTTGTTTTTTCCAACCAAACAGGCGGTTAAGGTGTATGTTAAGATAAAAAACATTTTCTCTAACCAAACAGGGGGAACCCTGGGTGATGACGATCACATGGACAAACCCCACGGCAGCTTTAGGCGGGACCTACGTCTGTAAGCTGACAGCAATGGGCAATGACACGCTCATGGAGGACTTTGCTTATGATAAGATCCAAGTGGAAATAAAAGGTACTTCACATTTTCTAAGTGGCTAACAATCTAAAGCCAAAGAAATCTGTACAGATCACAATCTAAACTTCTTATATAAGATCACTTGTGTAACATTCGTTTTTTTTTTAAACATTAGATGTTTAAACTAAACAAGTTGGCTTTTATCGAAGATTTTAATTAATAGCCATACAATTTATTTTAATGACTTGATTTAAGAATCTCCTGGGGTGCGACTGTCAGAAAGAATTTTCGTTACGGAGCAGAGGATAGAGCAGTTGATGAAAGATCGAGAGAAAAACGACAACATACAATCTATTCTCAGGTTTTGTTGTTTAAACTTAAGTGTTTAACCCATCTTATTCTAACCAAACCAAACCAAACCAAACCAAACCAAACCAAACCAAACCAAACGTAACCTAACCTAACCTAACCTAACCTAACCTAACCTAACCTAACCTAACCTAACCTAACCTAACCTAACCTAACCTAACCAAACCAAACCAAACCAAACCAAACCAAACCAAACCAAACCTAACCTAACCAAACCTAACCTAACCAAACCTAACCTAACCTAACCTAACCTAACCTAACCTAACCTAACCTAACCTAACCTAACCTAACCTAACCTAACCTAACCTAACCTAACCTAACCTAACCTAACCTAACCTAACCTAACCTAACCTAACCTAACCTAACCTAACCTAACCTAACCTAACCCAACCCAACCCAACCTAACCTAACCTAACCTAACCTAACCTAACCTAACCTAACCAAACCAAACCAAACCTAACCTAACCTAACCTAACCTAACCAAACCTAACCTATCCTAACCTAACCTAACCTAACCTAACCTAACCTAACCTAACCTAACCTAACCTAACCTAACCTAACCTAACCTAACCTAACCTAACCTAACCTAACCTAACTCAACCCAACCTAAACTAAACTAACCTAACCTAACCTAACCTAACCTAACCTAACCTAACCTAACCTAACCTAACCTAACCTAACCCAACCCAACCCAACCCAACCTAACCTAACCTAACCTAACCTAACCTAACCAAACCTAACCAAACCAAACCTAACCTAACCTAACCTAACCTAACCTAACCTAACCTAACCTAACCAAACCTAACCTAACCAAACCTAACCAAACCAAACCTAACCAAACCTAAACAAACCAAACCTAACCTAACCTAACCTAACCTAACCTAACCTAACCTAACCTAACTCAACCCAACCTAAACTAAACTAACTGAACCTACCTAAACCAATATAAAACTCTCCTTAGGTCTTTACTGTTTAACGTCACAAAAATTCTTGTTGACACGACGACCTACTGTATTGAGATGAAAAAGAAGATCAATTTACAAGGTAAAGATTTAGCTTAAAGTTATATCTTTGCTGTCTTTAGTATTTAATATCAAATAATAATTATAAGTCGTTATTAATTTTTTGAGAACAATTTAGTGTACATTTCAAAAAACCGTTTTTTTTTTTGGGGGGGGGGGGGTTTCTGGGTGTCAAATTAGAAGTTTAAATTTAAAAATGTTTGCTAGTTTGTGTTTTCTAAGAACCGAAGTTTGATGTACACATTTTTACCAGTTTATGTTGTGTAAAAACCAAAGTTTGATATACAAATGTTATTTTATGTCATTTACCAGAACCCGTTTTTGTGAATAAAATAAAAAATGATGGTTTCAACCTTCCTTTTTTTTAACCGATTTTAAAAGCATAGATTGAGTGACTCCTATCTATAACTATATGAAACACATTTCATCTTTGAACAGCTGTGGCATATATCAAAGTCAGACAGGATCTCATGACGGCCATCTCAAAAGATGAAGAAATAAAAGCTCATTTGAACGCGACAGAAGACAGCATGGCAAGTACTTTAAATGTTCAGGGTGAGTACTTGTAGACAGTAAATTAGATTTAATCTAACCTTAACTCGTATGTCCCTATCACTAAGCCTTTCGTCCTTATTTGTTGAGCAGCTAAAGCGATGGGTTTATTGCACCAACAAAGTCGGCACTTTGCGGCAGGACTTCAGAGCTTAAAGCAACACATGTCGAACATAGAAGAGCAGTTGAGTCACGAGAAGCAGAGTCTCAACGACCGGCTCGACTCGCAGAGATATTCACTTGCTCAGCTACGGGATACATTCCAAGAATTTCAGGAATCAAAATCTCTTTCCGACAACAAATTTGATGAACTAGGTCAGTTTTCTTACTACTACCATTACTGTAAGGGAAGTATATCTTGCATATATATATATATATATATATATATATATATATATATATATAGTTATAAAAACTACTTGTGGTCAAAGTCTCTGTAGTCAAACCCCCACTGTGGTGAAACTACCTTTGCTCAAATCCTTAAGGTCAAAGGTCAAAATATCTGTCGTTAAAGCACACATAACCATAAATACTCTAACACAGGTCATTGATGGTTGCATATGAATATATTACTTGCATAGTTTAGACAAATGAATGTTTTAAAAATAATACTGCTACTTCAGTTATATTCATATATGAACAGATAAAAAGATTCACCATTTGACACAATTATTAAACCAAACGTCAGAGAAACTCGAAAATTTGCAAGTTGCGTTAGGTGAGCATTTTATATTTCTGTTTTCTATGAATGTGAGTTAGCTAAATTAATTTTCTTATGGCGCTACCTTAGAGCGTTGCTACCATATCAAAAGGAATTCGTGGACACTCGTCATGATAATCACTCATGATTTGGGAGACTTAAGTGAATACAATCTTATACAATCGTATACCTACTTGTAAAATTTCGTTGATCTAACTGAGATGGTAGTAATTTTATGTGAATATGAGAGACCCGAGTAAAATACCATTTGGAAGTCTCTCAAAAATTAAGGTTATTCAAGTGTAAAATCTTATAATTATATATCAAGTTTGTCTACATAACTAAAACAGTATAGAGTCCTTGCATATGACGTCTAAGATCGTTCAGTATGTAAACATCCGCCATCGCGGTGTACACGCAAACATTTAAAATGGCGATCTGTGCGGTGAAAGGTTGTGATACTCGAAGGGGCAGATCTAAGGGGATTTCTTTATTTCGACTGCCAAGGTTGTGATACTCGAAGGGGCAGATCTAAGGGGATTTCTTTATTTCGACTGCCAAGGTTGTGATACTCGAAGTGGTATATTTAAAGGAATTCCTTTATTTCGACTGCCAAGGGTTATACCAAGTTTATAGAGATCGGCAGTCAATAGAACGTAGACACTGTCAATTTTTAGCCAATATTTATCGAAGTGGTGTAAATGAAACAGCGGCAAATCAAATGCGAATATGTTCTGGACACTTTGTTTTCACTTAAATTAGTAAATGATAACTGTTAATAAAACAAATATGCTCGGCCTTGACAAATATTAATAGCAATAGAACAAAGTCAAAAGTAATAATAAAATTTAATTGGAATATTTATTTAATATTAATATCAAGAATCTAGCTCTCAATCTAATCACGTTGTAAACAAATTTAGATCTAAATTTAGAGTGACTGGCTCCACTAAGTAAACATACAATCAAGAATCTACTTATTTCATTAATTTTAAATACAAAATTTAGATTTATATTAGATTAAAAATACACTAATAATAAATCTAAAAAATGTAATTGTCTCTAAGATCTAGAATCTAGCTCTATATTCTTATCATTTTATTTAGCAAACGAAATTATCTGAAATTGAAATAGATGGTATGACTAGACTTAGATCTAGAATCTGCTACTTAAATTGAAGTTTTAAAATTTATACTAGAAAGTAGTTGACATTTTTGTTGAGGAGGCTTTAATAAATTACTTATGCCTGTCTATTATGTGTATCTGATACTAGACTGAGTTGAGTTAAATTTAGAAGCCGACCAGTGGTACTGATTTCCCCTTTGTTTCCCTGCTGGGCCCTGAGGGTAATAAATTACATAAGAGATGCTATCTCTGGTTGGCTGAGATCTAAGAGCAGCAATCCATGTTACCTACAAAGAGATGAATTTGTATAATGGGTTAGAAACAAGTGGGGCTGGGTATCATGGAGGTGAGAAATTTTGAGGGGAGGGCAGTGGTACTGATTCCTTTTGGTCTCCACCCTGCTGGACCATGATGGTCGTAAATTACATAACATACCATCTCTGCTGGGCTGAGAACAGTAAGCCCATGTTACCAAGAGATGAAGTTTTATGGTGGGCTAGAAACAGGTAGGGGCTGGGTATCATGTAGGTAAAAACATTTTGAGGGGAGAGCATCGGTAAGTGTCTGATCACTTCCCTGCCGGACCATGAGGGTCATAAATTACATCATGCTACCCAGACTGGCTGAGATCTAAGAACAGCAGTGGCTTTTACCTCAGAAGTAGATTAGCAGTTTTATTGGGGTTTTTGTAGGGGTTAAGTGGTCTCACGTGTGATACTGTAATGTACCAGATCTATTGCTACTGAATCTTGTACTTTTCTAGATAATCTAGAATTTATACTGACTAGATCTAGATTCAGTGGCGTAGCGAGGTCGGGTGTCACCCGGTGCGGCACTTAATGGTGTCACCCCTCCCCCCGTAAGAATATATATAAATATAAATATATATGTATTTAATTTTTTACCACCCCCCAACCCAACCCCATACATGGATTAACATATAGGTTATTACGATTCTCAACCAAACCCTTTTCCTCAGGCATATATATTACAACGTTGAGTTGTTGTCAGTGCCCCCGCCCCCATCACCCGTCACCCCCACGGTGATTGCTTTAAGATAATACTAACGATTTGTATCTATATTCATATATAAATTAAGCTGGATGTTGCATGTTTTCTTTATCATTAGCAGGTTTTCGCCATGGTGTCACCCCCCCCCCTTGCTTTTAAAAGACTATTTAATTCATTTCAATTAATCATTTTCAGTATATAGTTTACAATATTTTTGCCTTGGTGTCATCCCCCTAAATGGTGTCACCTGGTGCGGTCCCCCCCCCCCCCCCCCGCTTCCCTCGCTACGTATTCGAATTTCGAATTATCAGCTTCTAAGAGACTGAAATTAGAATACGTTTCACTTCCAATTACCGGAAATCGCTCAAACGTTGATAGAAAACCACACGTTTGATATAATATATTTAAATGAAATTTTGTCAACATAGCTGAAATAGTACTCAAGGTATCATGGCTAACATATGGCTCTATAAAATTAAGTTGTATGTTTTCTAAGTGCTGACATATGGCTCTATAAAATTAAGTTGTATGTTTTCTAAGTGCTGACATATGGCTCTATAAAATTAAGTTGTATGTTTTCTAAGTGCTGACATATGGCTCTATAAAATTAAGTTGTATGTTTTCTAAGTGCTGACATATGGCTGCATAAAATAAAGTTGTATGTTTTCTAAGTGCTGACATATGGCTCTATAAAATTAAGTTGTATGTTTTCTAAGTGCTGACATATGGCTCTATAAAATAAAGTTGTATGTTTTCTAAGTGCTGACATATGGCTCTATAAAATTAAGTTGTATGTTTTCTAAGTGCTGACATATGGCTTTATAAAATTAAGTTGTATGTTTTCTAAGTGCTGACATATGGCTTTATAAAATTAAGTTGTATGTTTTCTAAGTGCTGACATATGGCTCTATAAAATAAAGTTGTATGTTTTCTAAGTGCTGACATATGGCTCTATAAAATTAAGTTGTATGTTTTCTAAGTGCTGACATATGGCTCTATAAAATAAAGTTGTATGTTTTCTAAGTGCTGACATATGGCTCTATAAAATTAAGTTGTATGTTTTCTAAGTGCTGACATATGGCTTTATAAAATTAAGTTGTATGTTTTCTAAGTGCTGACATATGGCTCTATAAAATTAAGTTGTATGTTTTCTAAGTGCTGACATATGGCTCTATAAAATAAAGTTGTATGTTTTCTAAGTGCTGACACATGGCTCTATAAAATAAAGTTGTATATATCCACAGGGCTGACAGATGGCTCTATACGACTTATTCATAATGGAACAATAGGACGCGAAGGGCGACTAGAAATCTTTCATGGAGGACAGTGGGGTACAGTTTGTGATGACCACTTTGATGAAAAAGCTGCTCTAGTTGTTTGTCATCAGCTGGGATTTAACACGTAATAAATTCATTGAGATTGTAGCCCATCATATATGGACATGATATTATCACATCATAGTGTAGGGGTTAGGCCCATCTTATATGGACATGATATTATCATATCATAGTGTTGGAGTTAGGCCCATCATATATGGACATGCTATTATCATATCATAATGTGGGGGTTAGGGCCAGCTTATATGGACATGATATTATCACATCATAGTGTGGGGGTTAGGGCCATCTTATATGGGGGAACAGGGCATTTCACTCCTGTCAATTACCCCCCGGATATTCCCCCCCCCCGACATTACCCCACAGAGTAAATACACCCCTGTCAATTACCCCCCGCCCAGTAGGACATTACCCCCCCCCCCCCGGACAGGGTTAGAGTTAGGTCTAGGGTTAGGGCTTGGGCTAGGGCTAGGGTTAGGGTAAGGGTTAGGGTTAGGGTTAGGGCTAGGGCTATGGCTAGGGCTAGGGTTAGTGTTAGGGTTAGGGTTAGGGTTAGAGCTAGTTTAGGGTTAGAGCTAGTTTTAGGGTTAGGGTTGTGTCTGGCTTTGGTTTTGGTTTTGTGTGAAGTTTTAGGCTAAGGTGGATGCTTAGGTTTTGGTCTTTTTTTTATCCCCTTAATTCCTGAATTATGTTCCAAGCGTGTAAAAAATTATTTGTGCTGATTTTCTCTCATCATACTGACACTGAATTTGAGGTGTTTAGTTGTTTTTGAATTTTGACTTATTTTTGATGATAATTACGGTATGTCGCGAAAACGCGACATCAGGCACTTATGGACCAAACAGTAATTTAATATTTTTTTAGTCCGGGTCATTTTACTATTTTTACTGTCACATGTTTCTCTAAATATCCATGCACAAACAATAAAATATCAGAAACTAAACATACGGACATGCAAGGAGATGTAGAATCACTTGCAAAACTCATGAAAACTATATTTTATTAGCTCAGGCATAGTGTTACATAACTCTGCTGCACCTGCTCACTGACTAACTCTTATGAATAGGTATTTTGATGTCTTGCTGTCGTAATTCTACTACACTACAGTAACACACTACATATGGAAGGACTTCCTTCAATGTGTAGAGCCTTAGTTGTCCCTGGTTACGTAATTTTCGTGAACTCTTATTTAAGGTCAACTAATAAAGACGCATATTTCTCATTTGACCTATATTTGCTATACACACAAAGCACGTGAACAAATAATGTCCTAAATGACAGTGTTCAGCCATTGTATATTCGTCCATGCTCAATGCAGCTGCTGTGGGTACTTAGTGTTACTGCTGTAGGTACTCAGTGCCACCGGTGTGGGTACTCACTGCTATTGTTGATGGTACCCTATGTTTCCAATTCGTGCTACGGCTATTGTTCTCGACTGATTCTGATATTGACTACTAATGACAGTGCTGTAGCTACATATTGCCAGTGGTATGGGTACTCAGTGCTGAAACAGTGGGTTCTGAGTGTTGAAGCCATGTGTACTGAGTGCTGAAGCTGTGGGTACTCACTTTTGAAGCTGTGGGTACTCAGTGTTACTGCAGTCGGTTCTTGGTGTCACTGCTGTGGGTACTCAGCGCTGGAGCTGTTGGTAATCGATAACGTTGATATAGGTACTCATCCTTAGCAGTGGGTACTCAGTAGCACTGCTGTGAGTGCTTAGTGCTCAAACTGTGGTTGCTCAGTGTCACTGATGTTGGTACTCAGTGCTGAAGATGTGGGTACTCAATAACACTGCTGTAGGTACTAAATGCCAGTATAATGACACTAATGTGGTTATTCAATAGCACCTCAAAGGGTATGTGTGTCAGCACTCAACCTTACTGTATTTATTACGAGGTGTAGGTCTATGCTCAGTGTTATTATTGTCAAGGCCACTGTGAAGACCTTTATTTGGTGGTATCCAGGATAGTGGTCCACCACCTCACTTCCTGTTGTCTATTTTTTTTTATGTTCTCCTAATATTATACAACACTATTTCAAAGCTAAATTCGTTATATTGTACCCAGCAACATGATCACATTATTCAAGCATCGCTCTCTCTCCATATGCTAATGTCAATGAAACAGGTGAACTCTACTTCACCTACCATATGGACCGTAACGTTTTAAAGTGCACTTTTATATATAGGCGAAGACCATATTGTAAATTCTTTACTTATTTATAATCATACTTGAATGAAAGACAGCTTGGCGATGCATCGTATTTCGTTATACCTGCTTGGCACCCAAGTTCCATTTGATGTCTTATTGCCGGATGTCGCGAAAACGCGACAAACCGTAATTAGCAGATAACTTCCAAAATTATTCTCATATGTGTTTTATGTTGTTTATATACATAAAAGAATGAATAATAAAGCTATTAGTATTTTTTGTAGCAGAGACGGATCACCTATTTAGTAATAATAATCAATGTAAGTTGGCCGAATTCACGAAGTCAAAAAAATTACGATGCGCGCGACTCAAGAGAGTGTGACGTCATAAATTTCGACTTGACCACGTGACCGTTGGTACCGATACAACCGTCTGGATGTCCCCAATACACAACGACCAGCAGCAGTAGGATAAATGTACATATGCGCAAATACTATGCGTTAAATCGGTATGTCGCGAAAACGCGACTGTCGGCGTTAAGGGGTTAAGATTTGGGTTAAAGTAGTATATAGGGATAACATTCTAGTTAGAGTTAGGATTTTAATTTGAGAGGGGGGGGGGGGGGTAATTCCCCTCGAGGGGGGGGGTAATTGACAGAGGGGTAATTGACAGGGGGGTTATTGTTCCGGGGGGTAAATACGGGGGGGGGGGGAAATATCCGGGGGGGGGGGAAATATCCACGGGGGGTAATGTCCTGTAGCCCTTATATGGACATGCTATTATCATATCATAGTGTGGGGGTTAGGGCGATCTTATATGGACATGATATTATCATACCATAAGGTTAGGCCAACCTTATATGGACATGTTATTATCATATCATAGTGTTGAAGTTAGGCCCATCTTATATGAGCATGCTATTATCATATCATAGTGTGGGGGTTAGGCCCATCTTATATGGACATGATATTATCATATCATAGTGTGGGGGTTAGGGCGATCTTATATGGACATGATATTATCATATCATAGGGTTAGGCCAACCTTGTATGGACATGATATTATCATATCATAGTGTTGGGGTTAGGCCCATCTTATATGAGCATGCTATTATCATATCATATGGTTAGGGTCAACTTATATGAGCATGATATTATTATATCATAGGGTTAGGCCCATCTTATATGGATGTACTATTATCATATCATAGGGTTTATAACCTATCTTTCATGGAAATATTATTCTATTTTAGGAATAAGCCCACCTTTTATGAAAAAGATGTTATAGCTTTGTCATGGCTTGGCAGTTTGTGTATCCTTACGAGTTCAGAGCTATACCAGCGGGAGTGTAAACTCCTGGTAGGTTCAACCAAGCTGGGAAGGTCTGCACGGGTAGGGGTCAGACCAAAGCTAACATCTGGTCCTCCAGGTTGGGGGTTGAAACATAAGGCTAGCAACCTTATCTTGTAAAAAAGGAACCGCTACAGAAACTGCAAGTACACAAACCTAACATCAACTTGGTCGAGGATGTTCCTCTCGAGAAGAGCTCATGACGCCTACTAGTGAAAGCCTCAAGGAAGCTAGTCTGCTGACAAATCTCCTAACTCTCAGGACTATAACCAGATTAGGGACCTGGAACATCAGAACCTTATATGAATGCAGCAGATCAGCACAGGTCGCCAAAGAAATGAGGAGGTATAAATTAAAAGACCTAGGATTAAGTGATACACGATGGAATGGCAGTGGCCAAACTAGGTTGGTCTCGGGAGAGACTGTCATCTACTCAGGCCACGAGGATGAAGATAATGAACACACACAAGGTGTAGCCATAATGATGACTCCAGAAGCAACAAATGCTTTGATCGCAATATTCGTAATAAACGAAAACGGGGAACTAGTGGCTGATGTCTGTGCATTTAATGATCTAATTATAGGGGGGACAATTTTCTCTCATAAAGATATACATAAGATCACCTGGACGTCACCCGATGGCAAAACAAAGAACCAAATTGATCACATCACAGTTTCCAGAAAATGGAGAAGAAGTTTAATGGATGTTAGGGCGAAACGAGGTGCAGATGCAGCCTCAGACCACCAACTCGTGGTTGCAACACTAAAATCAAAACTAAAATCATACAGGGATCGAGCTGGTAAACAACACTTTAAATTCAATACAACATTTCTTAGGTGTCCAAAAATAAAGGAAGACTTTAACTGCGTAGCAAAAAATAGGTATGAAGCACTCTCCAGCCTGGCAGAAGAAACAGTAGAGCAAAAATGGCTAGGAATACAGGGATTATGGAAGTCAACATGCACTGACATATTGGGAAGGAAAAAAAATGAACAAAAAGAATGGATCACAACAGAGACATGGGCCAAAATGGAAGATAGAAAAGATATAAAGTAGAAGATGAACACATGTAAGGATAACAAAGAGAAAATAAACCTCAAAACACATTATTTCGAAGTAAATGGCATGGTTAGGAAAAGTGCAAAAAAAAAAAAAAAGACAAAAGTCAGTTCATACAAGAGATGACAGCGAAGAGAGAAACTGCAGCAGGACAAGGAAATATGAAGAGGCTCTATGAAGTAACCAGAACCATATTAGGCAAAAATATTAATCCCAACAAACCAGTAAAGGATAAAGTAGGAAATATCTTAACAAGTAACACAGTACAGAGAAACAGATGGGTGCAGCACTTTGAGGAGATTCTAAACAATCCTAAAATCAACCATCCCATATAACACCTACTAAATGTGAGTACAGATTCACCCCCCCCCCCACAAAGCTAGAAATAATAAGAATAATAAAGATCTTGAAAAATGGCAAAGCAGCTGGCCCGGACGGTATCCCACCAGAGGCACAAAAAGCAGACCCAGCCATATCAGCAGACATATTACATCCTCTACTTAAGCAGATTTGGGAAAATTAGATAATCCCATTTGACAGGAAACTGGGCTGCCTGATAAAACTGCCAAAGAAGAGAGACCTGACACAATGCAACAACTGGAGAGGGATAATGAGATGAGATAATGAAATAATGAGATAATGCTTCTTTCAGTCCCAAGTAAGGTGCTGACAAGAATCGTCCTAGAGAGACTTAGAGATGCCTTGGAAAAAAGCTGAGACAAGAACAAGCTGGTTTTCGTCAAGACAGGTTATGTACTGACCACATTGCCACGCTGCGCATCATTATCTAACAGTCCCTTGAGTGGCAATCCCCCCTATACATGACTTTTCACGACTTCGAAAATGCGTTTGACAGTGTAAATAGAGATGTTATCTGGAAGTTAATGAAACAATATGGAATACCCACAAAATTTATATCTATCACACAGAAACTATTTGAAGACTCCACCAGTCAGGTAATACACAATAAAACTAACAAAACCCTTCACCGTGAAGAGGGGAGTGAGACAGGGATGTATGGTATCGCCAATGATATTCTTGATGGTAATCGACTGGATCATGCTGAAAACCACAAAAAAAAAAAAACGACACAGGAATCCAGTGGAGTTTCACCAAAAGGCTGGAGGATCTTGATTTTGCCGATGACATCTGCCTACTTTCTGACAAGCATCAACATACGCAAGCTAAACTAAATCGGCTATCTGAAGAAGCCATCAAAGTTGGACTAAAAATAAATAAAAATAAAACAGAGGTCATCAGAATCAATAACAGCCAGGACCTGCCGATACAGCTGAATGGAGAAGATTTACGTGAAACAAACACATTCACATATCTGGAAAGCGTGATCAATAAGGACGGGGGAGCAGATGAGGACATAAAATGCCGTATCAACAAGGCTAGATGTGCCTTCAACTCACTGCGCCCGATGTCGAGGTCCACGGCCCTGTCACTCCGGAGCAAAATTGGGATTTTCAACACAAATGTTAAGGCAGTGCTACTCTATGGCTTGGAGACTTGGAGGGTTACAAAGGCAAATATCGATAGGCTACAGCAGTGGCGTAGCGAGGTCGGGTGTCACCTGGTGCGGCACTTAATGGTGTCACCCCCAGAGGCGTAGCGACCCTTCCCGAGAACAAATTTACGATTTGCACCCCCACCAAACTTTCGATTTGCACCCTCCTCCTCCCACAAACTTTTGATTTGCACCCCCTCAAATTTTTCTATATATATTTTGCTATTTTTTGCCTTGGCGTCACCCCCTAAATGGTGTCACCCGGTGCGGTCCGCACCCCCGCCCCCCGCTACGCCTCTGGGCTACAGCCGTTCACCAATAAATGCTTAGGACATATACTTATAATAAGATGGCCAGACAAAATATCAAACAAAGACCTGTGGCAAATTTCAAAACAACAGCCAATAGATTATGACGTCAAGGCCCGTAAATGGGGATGAATCGGACACACGTTAAGAAGAGAGAAAAAATAATATTACAAAAAATGCTATGGACTGAAATCCCCAAGGAAAAGGGAAAGTGGGCCGGCCAAAGAAAACCTGGAAAAGAAAGGCTGAGGAAGAGGCTAAGGCAGCTGGGCTCACATGGGCACAGATAAAGGGAGCAGCCCAAAACAGAGTCCGCTGGAAATGTGTGGTTGCAGCCCTTTGCTCCCCAGGGGCATCAAAGGAAAGATGATGATTATGAAAATATAGTTCTATTTTAGAAATAAGCCCGACTTTTATGAACATATAATTATATTTTAGGAATACGCCCACCTTTAATGGAAAGATAATTATATTTTGGTGACAGGACAAATTATCTCAGACAAAATATCTCAGGACAAATGATCTCACGGACAAAAGATACCAGGACAAAATATATCAGGACAAATGATATCATGGACAAATTATCTTAGACAAAATATCTCATACAAAATATCTCACAGCCAAATTTTATTAGTGTGTACGATGATTTTAGTTGATTTGATTTTTACTTTCTCGTATATACGAAGTATAGAGAAAGTCTTGTAATCGTGCAAAAAAAAAAAATCGAGATTTTTGCAAATCTCGACGTTTTGCATCTCACTGATACGGAAAAACATAATTTTGCAATCTTGTCCGTATGTCTGTGTGTCTGTGTGTGTGTGTGTGTGTGTGTGTGTGTCCGTGTGTAAACACGATAACTTGAGTACCGTTACAGCTAGGTTGATGAAATTTCATATATAAGTATTTTATCAAAATCGTAGATCCGTATCAACTTTTGAGCGATTTCCGACAACCGGAAGTGGTACTTTTTCTACTTTGAATTTTTCAAAAGCCTATAACTTGAGTACTATTTCAGATAGATAAATGAAATTTCATACGTAAGTAAAAGATCTAATTCTCTACCTTCTATTAAATTTTGAGTCATTTCCGTTGACTGGAAGTAGTACTTTACGCTACTTCCGATTTCTCAAAAAACTAATGTAAATTTTAAAAGTAATAATAATATTGCGCACTATTATGCGCTTTTTTATTTCGCGTTCACTTGGTGTGCAATTAATTTGTCTACGAGATTTTATTATATTTTTAAAACTTTAAGTATTTAAAATGGATTAAAAATAATGTCTATAGCCCGAGTTCCCATCCCCTGTTATTTTATATAAGAATATTCGAGAAAGTTTAGGGGAGATCACTCCCGGTTTATTTTAAATTGACTCGTTTTGTCTACTTTTTTACTTTCTCGTTTATACGAATAATAGAGAAAGTCTTGTAATCGTTCAAAAAAAAATCGAGATTTTTACAAATCTCGACGTTTTACATCTCACTGATACGGAAAAACATAATTTTGCAATTTTGTCCGTATGTCTGTGTGTCTGTCTGTCTGTGTGTCTGTCTGTGTGTGTGTGTGTGTGTGTGTCCGTGTGTAAACACGATAACTTGAGTACCGTTACAGCTAGGTTGATGAAATTTCATATATAAGTATTTTATCAAAATCGTAGATCCGTATCAACTTTTGAGCGATTTCCGATAACTGGAAGTGGTACTTTTTCTACTTTGAATTTTTCAAAAGCCTATAACTTGAGTACTATTTCAGATAGATAAATGAAATTTCACATGTAAGTAAAAGATCTAATTCTCTACCTTCTGTCAAATTTTGAGTAATTTTCGTTGACCGAAAGTACTAATTTACGCTATTTCCGATTTCTCAAAAAACGCATGTAAATTACTAATAATATTGCGCACTACTATGCACTTTTTTATTTGGCGTTCACTTGGTGTGCAATGCTTTTGTCTACGAGATTTTATTCTATTTTAAAAACTTTAAGTATTTAAAATGGATTAAAAATCATGTCTATAGCCCGAGTTCCCATTCCTTGTTATTTTATATAAGAATATTCGAGAAAGTTTAGGGGAGATCACTCCCGGTTTATTAAGCATCATAATTGTGAATAAAATGAATTTGTTAAACTTAACAAAACATCAAAATATGTATTAAACATTATAATTAGCATTTGATTTGAAAGAGTAAAAATTAAAACAAACGTACTCCTTTAGCCTGAAAGCTAAAATAAATATATAGTATAAAACAAATAAAGTAACATTATATTTTAGTAATAAGGCCACCTTGAATGGAGAAATTATTCAGTTTTAGGAATGAGCCCACCCTTTATGGAAATATTATTATATTTTAGCAATACACCCACCTTTTAAGGAAATATAATTCTATATTAGTAATAAGCCCATCTTTTATTTAAATATAATTATATTTTAGGCATAAGCCCACGGTTTATAGAACAATGACTTTTTTAGGAATAAGCACACCTTTTATGGAAATGTTCCTCTATTTTATCAATAAGCCCACCTTTTATGGAAATGTTCTTCTATTTTAGGAATAAGCCCACCTTTTATGGAAATCTTCTTCTATTTTAGGAATAAGCCCACCTTTTATGGAAATGTTCTTCTATTTTAGGAATAAGCCCACCTTTTATGGAAATGTTCTTCTATTTTAGGAATAAGCCCACCTTTTATGGAAATGTTCTTCTATTTTAGGAATAAGCCCACCTTTTATGGAAATATTCTTCTATTTTAGGAATAAGCCCACCTTTTATGGAAATGTTCTTCTATTTTAGGAATAAGCCCACCTTTTATGGAAATGTTCTTCTATTTTAGGAATAAGCCCACCTTTTATGGAAATGTTCTTCTATTTTAGGAATAAGCCCACCTTTTATGGAAATCTTCTTCTATTTTAGGAAAAAGCCCACCTTTTATGGAAATGTTCTTCTATTTTAGGAATAAGCCCACCTTTTATGGAAATGTTCTTCTATTTTAGGAATAAGCCCACCTTTTATGGAAATGTTCTTCTATTTTAGGAATAAGCCCACCTTTTATGGAAATGTTCTTCTATTTTAGGAATAAGCCCACCTTTTATGGAAATCTTCTTCTATTTTAGGAATAAGCCCACCTTTTATGGAAATATTCTTCTATTTTAGGAATAAGCCCACCTTTTATGGAAATGTTCTTCTATTTTAGGAATAAGCCCACCTTTTATGGAAATGTTCTTCTATTTTAGGAATAAGCCCACCTTTAATGGAAATGCCTATTATGGTGCTGGTAACCACATGCCCATTCACCTGGATGACGTAACGTGTGAGGGGACTGAGACGGCTCTGGTCAAGTGTTCCCATGGGATCTGGGGATTCCACGGCTGCACACATGACGAGGACGTTGGAGTCAAATGTTGACGTCATCAAGACTGTGAAAGAATTTTTATCATTGACTTTTCTAACCCTTTCTTAGCGTCAATGAACCCACATAAATAACATATTAGCACATATTAAATTACATTATAAAATGTTGTCCTGAGATATTAAAAAAATACAGCGGGAGTGATCTCCCCTAAACGTTGTTATATATTCTTACATTACAGTAAAAGGGGTGATCTTTCAGTACAATTGTTTAATAAAAATGTTTTAAATTTTTTTTTTAAATAATTTATTAAAAATTCATTAAAAAACGTTTTAATAACAAGCTTTTTGTAATAATGCACTAAAAAGTAGAAAATAAATTATACACTACTCTTTAAATAACTATAAAGAAAAGCGTGGGTTATTTAGTATCTATTTGATACCTTCACTAATATTTAGGAAGAGACCCATGCTTTTCTTTTTAGTTATTTAAATAGTAGTGTATTATTATGTATTTAAAGAAAATTATTTATTTTCTCCTTTTTAGTTCATTATTACATAAAAGCTGGTTATTGAAACGTTTTTTATTTAAAAAAATTCAGTACCTCAACATGACTAAAAACCATTGCGCACCTTATGAACGTGATGACGCGTGTCTAATAGAGCGGAATAGTTTTATGAGACAGCCTACTAATTTGGACAAAATTTTAATTAATTCAGAAAAAATTAATTAGACATCCAGAGTCAAATTTAATGTCATGTTGCATTGTTTTCATGTCTTGACCTGCGTGCCAACATTGAAGCAAATCTGTCAGTTAGAAGTGTCCAAAATTTCGCTCGGGCGTATCGAGCTATAGACTGATGACTGACGACAGAAGGAAGTAAGTTTAATAGAAGCTTGTAAAAAAATTCTTAAAATACGTTTTAATAACAAGCTTTTATGTAATAATGCACTAAAAAACAGAAAACAAATTATACACGACTATTTAAATTACTATAAAGAAAAGCGTGGGTCACTTTAGTATCTTAATCTATTGGATACCTTTACTAATTTTTTACTCTCCCTATCCATTGCGGTTGAGAGGAGAGGGTAGTATTTGAAAATATTTGATTGATGAAACAATTATAAATGGCTTTTCAACGGCTTATATTCGATACACAAATATAAAAATGATTGTAATCGATGGTTACCAAACGGCTTTAATTTTTGCCCTATTTTTAAAACGATTTTAAAAAAAAGTTTAGTATGATTACATAGACATTTACGTGCCTATTGAGAAAAATATAGATCTAGGTACTTTATAAACAAAACAGTGACTAATTTTTGAAAAGTTAATCAAGTTACATTTTATGCCACCTACCTGTAAAAGTTAAAAATAAATCAGTCCAGTGATATTTCTTAGGAAATCTGAAGCAGCGTAAAATACTACTTCCGGTCTTCTAAAATCAATCATAATTTAACAGAACTAACATAATAAGATGTTATACCCATGTATACAATTTTTTAACCTAATTAAAACTGTACTAACGTAAAACTTACTTTATCATTATTTTAGAAACCGGAAATATTCTAAAGTACCACTTCGGAGGTTACTCAAAAACTAAAAATAATCTAAGTGTAAGATCTTATACTTATAGCATATAAAAATTCATATTTGGTCAAAATCTCTATTTGATTTCTAAGAAACAAACAGATCTACTAAAGCTGTGATTGTTCTATAGTAGCTAAAGCCTAAAGACTTTTTTAAAACGCGATAATTTCAGGCCCGAAATGAGCTTAGACTATATCTGTTTTGCTTGTTGCCTCACTAAATTAGGAAATGGTTTATTTTAAAAGTTAGTATAACAGTCTATTTATGAATTTATATCCATTATACTTTTATAGATATAGATTATGAACTGTATTTTGTTTCGTGTTTCCAAATTATTTTTTGTCGTGAGAGATTTTGTCTGAGACGTAAATCTTCAATACCTTGCCGTGATATTTTTCTTTTGCTGAATTCATTTGTAATCTAAAATTAAATCTTCGTTTCTAACATAACGAGAGACAATATAAACATGTTTTTAAAATGTTTATTGGCAAACAATTAAAAACACTCAAGCAGAAATAACTTTTGGTTAAAATTAAAAATCAGTTGAAAAGGAAATTGAATGATAGGATAAACTGAATGTACATTGGAATATAAGAGCATCATTTCATTCAGTATTGGGTCTAGATACATTTTTACATACACGGACACACACACACACACACACACACAAACACACACAGACACACACACAGACACACACACAGCGACACACACACACGCCCACGCAACAACATATATATATATATATATATATATATATATATATATATATGTATATATATATATATATATATTTATATATATATGTATATATGTATTTATATGTGTGTGTGTGTGTGTGTTTATAATAAAATAAATATAACGAACATAACATAATTTTGCAAATATAATACGATATAACACAGATAATTGGACTAATTGTACACAAATTATACAGTATAGATTATGTAGATTATGTATATATATAATCAACATATATATATATATAGTATAACATGCAAAATTATATATACATAAAATAAATCACTTATAAATATAAAATTACGAATAAGAAAGTTAACGATATGGGATTACAAGAATGAATGCAAGAATGAATGCAAGAATGAATGCAAGAATGAATGCAAGAATGAATGCAAGAATGAATGAATGAATGAATGCAAGAATGAATGCAAGAATGAATGAATGAATGAATGAATGAATGCAAGAATGAATGCAAGAATGAATGCAAGAATGAATGAATGAATGAATGCAAGAATGAATGCAAGAATGAATGCAAGAATGAATGAATACAAGAATGAATGAATGAATGAATGAATGAATGAATGAATGAATGAATGAATGAATGAATGAATGAATGAATGAATGAATGAATGAATGAATGAATGAATGAATGAATGAATGAATGAATGAATGAATGAATGAATGAATGAATGAATGAATGAATGAATGAATGAATGAATGAATGAATGAATGAATGAGTGAATGCATGCATGCATGCATGAATGAATGAATGAATGAATGAATGAATGAATGAATGAATGAATGAATGAATGAATGAATGAATGAATGAATGAATGAATGAATGAATGAATGAATGAATGAATGAATGAATGAATGAATGAATGAATGAATGAATGAATGAATGAATGAATGAATGAATGAATGAATGAATGAATGAATGAATGAATGAATGAATGAATGAATGAATGAATGAATGAATGAATAAAGCGGAAGTGATCTGCCCTAAACTTTCACGAATATTATTATATAAGATTACGGGGGATGGCAACTCGGGATATAGACATGATTTTTCATCCATTTCTAAAACTTAAAGCCTTTAAAAATATAAAATCTCTCAATTATAAAAAAATTTCGCAAACAATATGTGTATAATTATAGTGCTGAACAGTAATACGAAATATATATTCATATGCGCTTTTTAGAAATCGGAAAAAGCGTACATTACTACTTTAAGTCACCAGAATTAATCGAAATTTGACAGAAATCATAGAATTAAATCTTTCACTTATAAATCTGGATTTAGAATTTTCGCCCGATTAAAATTAGTCCCATATACTTCGTATATGATGAAGTACAGAGGTGGAAACGGGGAAAATTATCAAAATGTAGTGATTTTTCTGCATGATTTCAAAATTTTCTCTATACACTGTATACGAAAAAGTGAAAAAAAATCATATTCGATTAATTGTTGTTTTCACAAATACAAACATACACACACAAACATAAGGACAAAATTTCAAAACTGTTTTTCCGACTTAGGGAGGTGTAAAACGTCGATTATATATATATATATATATATATATATATATATATATATATATATATATATATATATATATATATATATATATATATATATATACATGAATAAATAGATAAATAAATATAGTAATATAGAAACACAGAAAGAAATCAATATATATATACATAAATAAACTATATAGTCTATACGTTTACGTATATGTTTATGTGTACGTATACTTATACGTGTATTTGTACGTGTACTTGTATACGTATGTGTATGAGTACGCATATGTAAATATGTAAATGTATATTTAAATCAAAATACATATTTATGGTAACCTGAATGAAGCGTAACAGAAATGTACGCACAAAAATGTGCGTGAGGGAATTTATTTTATTTGTAAGTCTAGCATTTATAAATATTAGCAAAGATAGATAAAATGTACATTTAGCACAAAAAACATTTTTCCGAAGAATATAATAAAATTAAAGTGTAACTGGTTTTTATTTGCGCCTTTTTTGTTTGCGCAGCTTTGCTTTGCACTGTTTTACATTTGTATATCCCTATCAGTGACAGACACAGTCAGTCACAGACAATAGTCAGTCACAGACACAGGTCAGTCACAGACACAGGTCAGTCACAGACACAGGTCAGTCACAGACACAGGTCAGTCACAGACTAAGGTCAGTCACGGACACAGGTCAGTCACAGACACAGGTCAGTCACAGACTAAGGTCAGTCACAGACACAGTCAGTCACAGACACAGGTCAGTCACAGACTAAGGTCAGTCACAGACTAAGGTCAGTCACAGACACAGGTCAGTCACAGACTAAGGTCAGTCACAGACACAGGTCAGTCACAGACACAGGTCAGTCACAGACACAGGTCAGTCACAGACACAGGTCAGTCACAGACACAGGTCAGTCACAGACTAAGGTCAGTCACAGACACAGGTCAGTCACAGACACAGGTCAGTCTCAGACACAGGTCAGTCACAGACACAGGTCAGTCACAGACACAGGTCAGTCACAGACTAAGGTCAGTCACAGACCCTAACCCTTACCCACATGTAATTATAATTTATGAGCAGTTATTTTGTTTTCTATTACACACTCAAGTCAGAATTTTACATAATGATCATGATAATCAAAACACAAAAATTGTACATTTAAAATTACATTATTCTCATTTACACAGTTCATTCTGGAGATTTCCTCACTTTTAACATTATAATTTTATGTACGAATGCTGATCTTCTTGTAATTGACAAAAATATAAGACCTTACATTAACCGTTATGCAGAATCGATCAATAATGTAAACACAAATCTACAAGTAGAAGAAATACAACACAATAATTGTTGCACAGAACTGATAATGAAATTCATAAGAAAAACATTAAGGAATTTAGCACATAACACACCAAACAATGTATTTAACAAAATATATTACAAACCGCGTCACTCAAACATTCTCATTGCTTCACGTACTACACATCTGAAAACAATACATCACACTAAACATTACATCACATTTCATATATAACATCACATTATCAAACAACAAATCTCACAAACATTCATAATAACAAGTCTACAGATATTAGGGTCCACACCTAAAGTTAACACAAATCTATAGATATAAGTGTATACACCCAACTAAACGGAAACGAAAAATGTCATCGAAATCGAATTCTAATCCAGAATCGGCATTTCAACAGGATTTAACCCTGAGCTACACGTAGTTACTGCACATTCCTCTAAATTTAGTCGTAGTTATACCCCTAAACATTGCATATAAGCTCAAAATTGACAAAAGTCATATTTAGAGTTTCTTTCAGGCAACTCTGGGGGGGGGGGGGGGGTGGAGGGGGAGACGAAATATAATTTATATAGAAAATATAATTTAACCAGTGTCCTCCCCCTTCCTCGGAAAATGTAAGCCCCCCCCCCCGAAAATTTCAAGTGCCCCCCCCCCCCCCCCCCCCAGGAATGAAAAAAGAGACTAAAGGTATATCATACTACTTTAATCTAGACCCGTTTCCTAGTTTTGGCCGCTAAACCTCAATCATGCAGATAGTGTTTCTTGAAGACTTTTTTTCTTGGAGGGGGGGGGGGGCGACTTGAATAGTTTTTGGGGAGTGTGGTGGATTAAATTCTCCGCGGAGGGAGGGCTGCCACTGGTAAAAGTATACATCTTCTATATAAATTGTATTTCGATCGGGGGGGGGGGGGGGGGGGAGCTCTGTCTACTACCCAAAGAGATGCTAAAAACAAACTCTGCATGCAGACCACTTTTAAGATTTGACAAATACATTAGGTTGTAATGTTAGTGTCTTTATTATCAAGAATCGATGATATCATTATTATTGTGTATTTTTTTCGGCAATGGCTTTTTAATTCTGTTTACTCTAGAATCAATGACGTCATTTTATTGTGTGTACTTTGCCGGCTTTAGAACATATTTCGTTTCGTTTTTAAAACTTCCTACATTTTCCATGTGACGTCACGGTCTTCTTAACAATGCACTTTGTGTTTTCTCTCGAGCATTCTCGACAGACAGACAGACAGACAGACAGACAGACAGACAGACAGACAGACAGACAGACAGACAGACAGACAGACAGACAGACAGACAGACAGACAGACAGACAGACAGACAGACAGACAGACAGACAGACAGACAGACAGACAGACAGACAGACAGACAGACAGACAGACAGACAGACAGAATAGCGAATTTTAATAATTAACATTATATGTTATAATATTTTAATAAATGATTACATTATGGAAAAAAGCGGGACTGATCTCCCATAAACTTTCTCGAAGATTCTAATATAACACTACGGAGAATGAAAACTGGGGATATAGACATAGTTTTTAATTCATTTTTAAATACTTTAACTTTTAAAAAAGAATAGAATTTCGACGAAAAAAATAATTGCGCACTAAGTAAACAGCAAACAATGTGTGGATAATTGTGCGGACATAAATTCATATGCGTTTTTGATAAATGGGAAATAGCGTAAAGTACTCTATTACTTCCGGTCACAGAGAATTACTACAAATTTTACTTTATTGTGAAAATTAATCTATCAAAAACAGTAGCCTATTCTAGTTATAAGCTTTTGAATAAGGTCCATTTCCGGTTACTGGAAGTCGCAGAAAAATTGATACAGAACTACAAATTTTGATGTTATACTTTTATATGAAATTTATTTCATCAGCCAAGCTGTAACGGTACACAAGTTATCGTGTTCACAAACACACACACAGACATACAGAAAGAATTGCAAAGCCCAGTTTTTTCTCCGACTTGATTACGCGTAAAACGCCGAAGGTTTGATAATACTGGATTTACAATTTTTGCTCGATTAAAAACTCACTTTCTCGTATACAGAGTATAGAGGAAGTGAAAATAAATCCTGTTCCATTAATTGTTGTTTGCACAAATTACGCACAAATTACAACTCATTTTGAATCGGCCTACAAAGAACTATTTGTTTTGCGCGGCATAGAATGTCTCTCAGAGAATTGCTGTCTATACTTTATTATCACATTATCTGCTGAATTTTCCAGATGGTTTACTTTAGTCTGTTTTGATTCAACATCGCCATTAAAAATTACTTTTCCTATGTTTCCTTTTACATAGCAGATTGTGCATCAATGTGTTTGGTGTATGGACTTTGTAGATGTGTCTAGCTGGTTACCAAATGTAAACAAACTTTTTAATGTTTTTTAAAACTGTTAGCAAGATATTCTGTTGTGTTTTTAACATATACAAGCTATCTTTTTCTACAATATCCCTAGCTGCCGATTGCTCTATAACAATGTTTCATGCTTAGAATACTCACTTTCTATCGTAGGTTTAGTTTTAGTAAATTTTAGTACCTCAAATCAGTAACTACAGATAATACGCCAACAAAATGCCGTCTAACAGTCCCCTGTTTTTGACATTCTAACGGACTAACCCCTACCCACTTAAGAAGCTAAACAGTAATATATTACGTCACTCATGTCAAATTAATGCAAATAGACTGATAGTTAAATGGATTCTGAATAAAATAACATTTACCATTTAACGATATTCGACAAAAACTTTTTAAAGATTAATCTGGCTGTATCTGTCTACAAATACCAGTGATATAAACTGATAATATAATAGGGATTATAAGTTCAATTGGTTTCATTCAGAAGTAAATGTAGAAAATATATACTTAAATATGATTGGGTTCATCTGTTATAAGATCAGGATTAAATGTACTAATGAGAAGCAGTGACCTTGACACTGTTCCATTCCATGGCTGTAAATTTGTTATTATTAGACTGACACCTGTTTAATAAAATACTTCAAATCCGGTGTGTGACAAAGTATAACAGAACGCTGGTTTGTATATGAGCATACCGTCGTGATTTTCATAGTCATTATTTGTTGATTATTCCATCTGGAAATTTGGGTAGTTTTTCTTCTGTAAGGAAATAGAAAATAAATTAGAATAAAATTATAATGAAAATAAAAACATAAATTATGAGAAAAAATCAAATTAATAGAAAAGCAAATAGAAAATTTAAAGTTTATTAAAAAAATCGAAGAAGAAAACTAAAAGGAACATTATAGGAATAGAACTGAGTGGATAAAAATTAGAAGAAGAAAAATTGAAAAAGTAATAAGGAAAGCAACCAGAAGACATATGAGAAAATGCCTTTGCCGGAATTGAAAGGTCTCTTCTATCTTCAAAATCACTAAAAAGTCTCTTATATTTTCAAGGTCAATAAAAAATCTCTTATATTTTCAAGGTCAATAAAAAGTCTCTCCACTTCAAGTTCACTAAAAAGTCTGCTTTATCTTAAAGGTCACTGAAAACTCCCCATAAAGGTCACTGAAAACTCTCGCCCCATAAAGGTCACTGAAAATTCTCTCCATATAACGGTCACTGAAAACTCCCCATAAAGGTCACTGAAAACTCTCGCCCCATAAAGATCACTAAAACTCCCCATAACGGTCACTAAAAACTCCTCATAAAGGTCAATGAAAACACTCTTCACTTAAAGGTTCTCCTAGGCCACGGCTATATTTCTAATTTGACGCAAAATTGTCTAGGATTCAGGAATAAGCATCGGAAATTAGGTAAAGCGTTTTTTTAATTATACTCCGATGAATAAAATGTATTACAAACTCGTCGTTGCTAATTAGAGCGAATTTGATAACCATTAAAGATCGGAAGGTTAAGACATACGTAAAAGAGTATACAAATGTGCATATAACTAACGTCATAATGCGGTTTCGTCACCAGTAACAGCAGTACTCTTTCCATTTTCTGTCGGTAAAGTCATGTACTGTGAATATTCCCTTTCCATCGGCATGGTTTCTCCAGTGAAGAGACGCTTGAATGTTTCACGGAACTGCTTGCTCATTCCACAGTAGATAAAAAAGTTGAGCGGGTAGCTCAGCAGAATAAAGAAGTTACTGAATAGGCTTATGACCTGGGAAAAATAAAAGGAAACATTTTAACAGGCATATGACCTGGGGAAAGTAAAAGGAAACATTTTAACATGCTTATGACCTGGAGAAAGTAAAAGGAAACATTATATATATATATATCTATATATCTATATATATATATATATATATATATATATATATATATATATATATATATATATATATATATATATATATATATATATATATATATATATATATATATATATATTTGTAGCAGGTAGCTTCAGATCTCACAACTGACATGTAGTCCATTAAGTCACGCAACGGTTAAGTAAGAAGATTGGTGTCATCAGAGCACAATCGTTTGGTGTATGACAGACGATAAGTTCGTTTGAAGGACACACTATATTTTTTCTTTGTATACATATTTTCTTTACATACATACATACATACATACATACATACATACATACATACATACATACATACATACATACATACATACATGCATGCATGCATGCATGCATGCATGCATACATACATACATACATACATACATACATACATACATACATACATACATACATACATACATACATACATACATACATACATACATACATACATACATACATACATACATACATACATACATACATACATACATACATACATACATACATGCATGCATACATACATACATACATACATACATACATACATACATACATACATACATACATACATACATACATACATACATATATATATATATATATATATATATATATATATATATATATATATATATATATATATATATATATATATATAAATAAACATGCAAAATTATACATGATTTAACTATAGCGTTCATTTATCCAAAAGACAATTTGTATAAAAATGGAGCCTTTAAACTAATGCCATAATTGAAAGCTTAACAACGAATACGGAAATGGACAATTCGGTTCTGTATACCATCATTTGGGCTTAATGATAGTGTTAATTGATTTTGAATGCAATTCCATGCTGTTTTGCGTCCTCACGTGATCAGAAGCAACACGAACGATTCGCGAACCATCTAATCTTTTTTCCGATGAAGCTTGAAATGTTTTATAACGTGCCATTTGATACTAAAGCCTGACTCACGGCTTGATTTTGTTTTAAAACTTTCCCCAACGATAAAACAATTCTATTCTCTCAGAAACAGAAAAATTTGTTGGGTGTTGGCTTACTTAAAACACAACTGCAAGGAGCATTTCTAAAAATTAAATTTTTTTTCATAACATTTTGAATTAGTAGTACTGCTCGTAGCTTAGGTAAAATATTCAGTGTGTTGGTAGAGTGTTGGTAGAGTGTTGGTAGAGTGTTGGTAGAGTGTTGGTAGAGTGTTGGTAGAGTGTTGGTAGAGTGTTGGTAGAGTGTTGGTAGAGTGTTGGTAGAGTGTTGGTAGAGTGTTGGTAGAGTGTTGGTAGAGTGTTGGTAGAGTGTTGGTAGAGTGACAGTAGTGTTGGTTGAGTGTTGGTAGAGTGTTGGTAGAGTGTTGGTTGAGTGTTGGTAGAGTGTTGGAAGAGTGTTGGTAGAGTGTGATAGAGTGTGGTAGAGTGTTGGTAGTGTGACGTCAGTGTGTTGGTAGAGTGTTGTTAGAGTGTTGGTAGAGTGTTGGTAGAGAGTTGTTAGAGTGTTGGTAGAGTGTTGGTAGAGTGTTGGTAGAGTGTTGGTAGAGTGTTGGTAGAGAGTTGTTAGAGTGTTGGTAGAGTGTTGGTAAAGTGTTGGTAGAGTGTTGGTAGAGTGTTGGTAGAGTGTTGGTAGAGAGTTGTTAGAGTGTTGGTAGAGTGTTGGTAGAGTGTTGGTAGAGTGTTGGTAGAGTGTTGGTAGAGTGTTGGTAGAGTGTTGCTAGAGTGTTGGTAGAGTGTTGGTAGAGAGTTGTTAGAGTGTTGGTAGAGTGTTGGTAGAGTGTTGGTAGAGTGTTGGTAGAGAATTGTTAGAGTGTTGGTAGAGTGTTGGTAGAGTGTTGGTAGAGTGTTGGTAGAGTGTTGGTAGAGTGTTGGTAGAGTGTTGGTAGAGTGTTGGTAGAGTGTTGGTAGAGTGTTGGTAGAGTGTTGGTAGAGTGTTGGTAGAGTGTTGGTAGAGTGTTGGTAGAGTGTTGGTAGAGTGTTGCTAGAGTGTAGGTAGAGAGTTGTTAGAGTGTTGGTAAAGTGTTGGTAGAGTGTTGGTAGAGTGTTAGTAGAGTGTTGGTAGAGGGTTGGTAGAGTGTTGGTAGAGTGTTGGTAGAGTGTTGGTAGAGTGTTGGTAGAGTGTTGGTAGAGTGTTGGTAGAGTGTTGGTAGAGTGTTGGTAGAGTGTTGGTAGAGTGTTGGTAAAGTGTTGGTAGAGTGTTGGTAGAGTGTTGGTAGAGTGTTGGTAGAGTGTTGGTAGAGTGTTGGTAGAGTGTTGGTAGAGTGTTGGTAGAGTGTTGGTAGAGTGTTGGTAGAGTGTTGGTAGAGTGTTGGTAGAGTGTTGGTAGAGTGTTGGTAGAGTGTTAGTAGAGTGTTGGTAGAGTGTTGGTAGAGTGTTGGTAGAGTGTTGGTAGAGTGTTGGTAGAGTGTTGGTAGAGTGTTGGTAGAGTGTTGGTAGAGTGTTGGTAGAGTGTTGGTAGAGTGTTGGTAGAGTGTTGGTAGAGTGTTGGTAGAGTGTTGGTAGAGTGTTGGTAGAGTGTTGGTAGAGTGTTGGTAGAGTGTTTTGTAGAGTGACGTCAGTGTGTTGCTAGAATGTTGGTAGAGTTGAGACCTGACGTCATTAGGCTAAACAGCACCTACTCTTTCTTTGCCCTTTTTAGGTGTAGCGTCTAGAGGCTGAAGAGCACCTTTTTGGTTGAAGCCAAAGAATTTCTGCACACACTGTTAACATTTTAAAAAATTGCTGCCATTTTGTAACATGTGTGTTCCATTTTAAAATTGCTGCAATTAGATTGGAGGCTAAAGTGTATTTTGAGGAAAACACTTGACTGGTTTCTTGAAACAGCATTTGCTAGTCATTTGGCCAGCTCACAGTTTAGGCTTGTAATGATTTCATTCCCGTCAACTTGCCGCTCTTGCTAATAATAGCCAATGCATTTAAATAAGTAAATCTTTATTGGATGTAAAATCCAAAAGATCGATTTCACTGTTTTAAAAACAAATACAATGACAAAGACCAATACACAGGCAAAGGCAAAGGTAAATACTGACGCAGCCCCAGCGGTGTTTCTTTCAGACGGGGGTGAGGGGAGGGGGCACTTGGGGACGAATTCAATTTCTTTCGAGGGGGAGGTGGTTGGGGGGGGGGGGCTCTTCTCCCCCGAAGAGATACCTGGAAGAAACTTTGAACCCCAACCGGAGCTGCTACAAATGAAATGTCACGGGTGAGTTTTTACAGTACAAACGATTACTCAATAAATTATAGATATCCTAGAGAATTTAAGGGCGCGATTTGATTTTTCTATATATACGGTATATACAAATAAAAGTCGATTGTTTTTCGACTCCGTTCATCGCTCGCTCTCTCTCTTAGTCTTCTCTGCTCCTTATGGACCATAGGGCCCCTACCATTTCTTTCCATTTCATCCGATCCCCGGCTATTAATTTTGCCTTCTCTCAAGACATCCCTGTTGGCTTTAGTTCTTTGAGGAGACTCCGTATTCCATATTGGTCGCACTTTGAAAGCAAAGCGGCCTCTATTAATTCTAGCACGTATGTCCTCCCCTGTACCTCCCGATTTGCCACCTGATCTTGCTGCTAAGGTAGACAAACTCTTGCACATCATTTACCTGTCTTCCGTCTATTGTCACTGGAGCCTCCTGTTTATTGTTAATTCTCATCACTTCTGTCTTTTCTTTGTTGATCTTCAGACCTACGCGTTGAGAGATGGCACCTAATGCATCACATTTTTCTTGCATGTCTTGTAGCCGGTGCAAGAATAAGGCAAGATCATCTGCAAACTCTAGATCCTCTAGTTTCTCCGTGAGTGTCCACTGTATACCTTTTCCAGAACTGGCATAGGCTGTGCGTGTCACCCAGTCGAGAACCACCAAGAAGAGGAGGGGCGACAGCAGACATCCTTGTCTCACACCTGTGTTGACCTGGAACTCTTTAGACAGTTTCCCTGCATGGCTAACTTGGCATGAAAATCCATTGTAAAGTTGCTGAATTATATCCACGAACTTAGCAGGTACACCTTAGTGTCTCAACAGATTCCATATTGTTTGCCTATCCACACTATCAAAGGCCTTCTCAAAGTCAACAAAGCAGATGTAAAGCGGGGCTTGCCATTCTATCGTCTGTTCTGCAATAGGGGCTTGCCATTCTATCGTCTGTTCTGCAATAATTCTAAGAGTGGTTATCTGATCTGTACAAGATTTTTCCTTCCTAAACCCTGCTTGTTGCTCTCTTAGCTTAAGGTTGATTGCCTCTTTCATTCTGTCTAAAATGACTCTGGTGAGGTCTTTACATGGAATAGACAACAAGGTAATACTCCTCTATTTTCCAAATTGAGATAAGTCACTGTTCTTTGGCAATTTCACAAGGAGGCCCCTCTTCCAGTCGGTTGCGATCTGTCCTTTGTTCCAGACCAAGTTACGTAGTTTATAAAGTCGATTTACTACTTCTCCACCTTGCTTAAATGCCTCTGCACTCCGTTCATTTGATCGCAATGAAACTTTGGGGAGCTGATGAGAATACTCCAGCGTAGGTGATTTTTCTCTATATAAAGTATAAAAATATTAAGTCGGATGCTATTTAACACCATTATTCCTAGTGCCATGAAACTTAAGGGAGTTGATAAGAAAAATCCTTAGAAGAATTTTACGAAACATAAAATTAAAATTTCTTATAGACGGCGCCCGGTAGGGTGCGATTTTTCTCAATACAGGGAGTTCCAGAGCGCTGTCTTAGCACTTGATATCCGTTAATTGGGCGTAGGGGTAGGCCTACTACTTTATTCATCGTTAAAACTGCAGAAGACGAATCCACCGGCGCCCCGGCGATTGCGTGACCCGAAACGCCCCAAGCTCACCTGTGTGTACTATGTCGCCTTTATTCGTTTAAAAAGAAGGTTATACACTAAAGACACGATGGACAACAATTATCGTTGATTATCGAATCCGGCGCGTGCTCAGGTTCCAGGACAGGGGTGATTTGATGCTACCGGCTATCCTACGAGAACTATGGCGCTTACGTTTTTTTCATTTTGAATAAGAAGGGGTATTATAGTTGTTCACTAAATTGAATCACGCACGTTCGCCAGCGCTCAACCAGGGTGTAATTTGGCGCCTCGCTGATCACGCGAGGTCTATGGTGCCTACGTTCGTTTTAAAGAGTGCGATAGACTATTGATAAGATTGGGGCATTATTGTCGTTAAGTAAATTGAATCAGGCGCATTCGCCGGCACAGCGGCAGGGTGCGATTTAGCGCCCTGATCTATTTATTGTGCGCTATGGCCATACGTTAGTTTTAAGGAGCACCTCACAATATTGAAACGATGGCACACGACATTCGGTTATTAAACTGAGCCAGGTGCACCCCTGCGGTAGTGTAATACGGGCTCACGGGAGCGCCCCTCTACGTCACCGACATTGGGCGATTGCAGTAGTGTGTTCTACCTCACTACTACGGTGAGTGATTAACGTACTTTCAAGGCTTTCAAACTGCACGCCACGAGGAATGCTGGGCGGTATTGTAGGTTAACCCGTGCCCCGATAAATATGATCAAAGCTCAGGTATTGTTTACATTAAAATCACTTAGTTTAAGAAAACAAGGTCACACGACTAAGAATGTAGGATTGGTAACGTATTGATAAAACCCTCCAAATATATTTCGTCAGACTTTCTTGTAACCCTGCTGCAAGACGCGTCTAAGAATATATGATTAGTTACGCTTGATGAAACTCTCTATAAATGTTTAGTCATACTTTATTCTATCCCCGCGGCAACGCGTGGGGACAGATACTCGTATATATATATATATATATATATATAAGGTAAATCTTGTGGTGGGTGGGTGTTCATGATGGATTGTCCGGTATAGAAATCTAAAATAGTGCACCGATTGGATTCATTTTCGCCACATTTGAGGATTATAACAAAAGGAAAAGGTCGTTGTGCACTTTTTGGACACATTGAATGAAAATTCAAATTGTTTTCAATTTTTCAAATATTTGTATATTCCATATAGGCGACCTCATTTCCTCCATTTTTAAATGTCCATAATTTAAGTATTTTGCGCTGAGCTCATCGCCGGTGTAATTTAGTGTCTTATTTATAAACTTCTATATTTACCTATTTAGTATTTATCTTTCTGAAATAGAAACAGGGCTGATAATTTAATGAAATTATTAGATATTTTCGTAATGCAAAATGCTGCCATAATTCTAAATCAGGTTTTAATTTTTATTTTTTATTAAAAGACCAAACAAAACTGTATTGTTTACTAATTATAATTTATTTTATCACAAATTAAATGTGGTGCGAAGCGTTCACTACCAGTGCGGTGAAAATGTCACAAAGAGACCGTATCAAACTATTTAGTACTAGATAAATTGCCCGTTGAGGGAGAAATACAACGCGCGCTAGGGTGATAGGTTGATAGTGTTTTATTTATTTTTTCTATAAACCGAAACGGAAACCAACATGAAAATCGCCCCATCAACTTCAAATTTAATACGGAAACGAAAAATGTCATTGAAAACGGATGTTTATCTAGAATCGGCATTTTAACTGGATTTAACCTTGATCGGCACGTAGTTACTTCTCATTAATATTAAGTATAGTCGTAAACCTTGCACCTAAGCTCAAACTTGACAAAACTTGCTTTTAGAGTTTCTTTTAGGCAAAAAAATTGGATAGGGACAAAAATAGGAAAACATACTTTAGGGATAATTATAGGGATAAGCAAAATGAAAGTGATAACTACTGATAAAGATCATGGATAGCGAAAGGAAAAATGAAATGAGATAGTTAAAGAGATAGAGAAATGGATATGTTTATGATAGAAACAGCGATAAGGATAAAAAATAGGCATAAGTATAAGTATAAGGATAATGATATGACATGGGTAGTGATATAAATAATTATAGGGATTCTTATATGTTGTTCTTAAGCATCGGGTTGTAGTTAGTGTTAATGTTTTGTACATTTTCTTTTGCATCCATACTTATATATAGATATTACATTGAAAATGTTTCATATTTCTCAAACTCGTGCAACGCCGGGTGTATGCTGCTAGTAATTACATAAAAAATTATAATGTTTTCACAATACAATAGATGCAGATGGTATCTGGGGCATTTAATGAACACAATTTTTTAAACGCCTAAATTGAAAACAACAGAACAGTGTGGCAATCATGTCTAGGCTCAAAGGATTAATTTAAAGTAGATGTCAACATGTTTTACTTATACAGGCTAATTAATTAGATTTATGAGTGATAAAATATATAATTACCCTGCCATTTCAATTAATACCATCCACATTAACTTTGACGAGCCCCCTCCCCCCACCCATTTAGAATTGGTAAAGACCTATTTATAAATTACTGTATCTTTACTGCATTTATTTTGAAGTAATATAACTGAATCAGAAAACAGCTGAATCAATATACAAAGTCACGTATCAGTGTACTTTCTATTTCGACTGTTTGTGAATTAGAATTCCAATTTACTTTGAATTTTCTTCTACCTCTTTAGTGTGTTACTGGGGTCGGGGTCTTATGCAAACACACCCTCCTCCAATATACCCCCCCCCCCCCCCTTTGTGTGCCTGGTAAAAGATGTAACGAGTTCCAACAACTGAAGGATGAAATTTGATTTAAAATGTGAAATAACTATACATACCTGAATCAAATCTTTTCTAATTAAAACCGTACCAAATGTCTCTTGAAAGATGAGGATGACCATGAAAAGGCCCAGTGGGAACTCAACTAGTAAAAAAAGCCCAACTACTGCCACTAGCATTAACGTTGTGCAGTTGGACTCTTTCAATTTTCTACTTTCGCTTTTCTTGTTTTGTCGCAGCAGTTGCATGCGTCTTCTCTGTGCCACTCGCATGGCGTAGATAAGTAGAGCGTTCATGACGACTAGCGACACACAGGGGAGCAGGTTGATAAAGATAGATCGGAACCAGTAGTACAAGCTGTAGTACAGGTTCAAGTGTCGCTGGACCCAGGGATTATAGACAAAAATGCAGGTAGAGACGGTGTTGTTGAAGTTAAGCATGGAGTTTCTTCTTGTTTCTACCGGTGAACTCTCAAAAAATCGCAAGATTTGGCTGAGCGTAGCAAAAAAATAAATGGCGACTGTACCATAGATAACATTTTCAGTGGTGCACCAGGTACGCGCCTTAAAAGAATGGCAGACGTAGATGTATCTCTGGATGGCCAGAGCCATGGTCAGCCATATAGATGCCGTATGGAAAATTGTCGGGATGTAGTCTATAGAAGCTTTGACCATAAAACACCAATCATATGGTATCCAGTCGTAGAATCGTTCTGTGCCGAATAGAAAGAGAAACACAGGAACGGGAAATAGACCAGTAAACATGTCTGACAAAGCCATTGCTACCAAAATAGCGTTGGTTGGACTGCGCATATGTGGCTTAAGTAGAACGATACAGACAAGGGAGTTATTAATGACAGTGAGTAGGACTAGAACAGGAGAGATATATCCATTCAGCGGAACGGCATACCTGCAACAAAAAAAAAATTAATACTCACTTGAACAAGTGACTGAAGAAATAAACGATTGGAATAAAGAGTAAATTAAACGAATGCTTGATTGATTAAACGAATAAATGAATACATGAATGAATTAATGAAAAAAAAATGAAAGAACAAATTAACGTACGAATGAACAAAAAAAAGATCAATTACGGCAGTAAGCGAATGAATGAATAAACGAATGATTATTGGGTATTATAGTCATTTACTAAGTTTAATTAGATGGTTCCACCGGCGCCCTGGTAGGGTGAGATTTGGCGCCACGGGCTATACTGTGAGTGCTTAGCTTTTATGAAGTATCTATCTACTAAAACTCAAGTTGTTTTTTTTTTGCATTCTCTTTTTGTTTATATGTTTGGTTACAGGAGAGAATCTGCACTACATATTTAGGTAGAAATTTACGTTATTTTTTACCAATCTGTTAATCAGAAATTTATTTAAAGACCGTATTTAATTTATTAATATATTCATTGGGGGGGGGGGGGGGAGACCACTTTAATTATAAAAGTTTAGAACAATGACTATATTTATAGTGACGTCATATGATTATTTACTTTTTATAACAATAATGGCGGCTTTCATTGAACATTATGTTGCCTATTAAAAAGTGTAACGCATTATAAAGCTAATTTTCTGTCGGCTATAGCTTTAACGATACGTCCGTTTGCAATTTTTATTAGGTTCCAACACTATTACCAATTTTCAACAGTTCTTCTAATTTGAGTATACAATACATTATTCTAGTTTTCAGAGGAATGGAAAGTCAACCCTAGATCTAAAATCTAGAATCTAGGTCAAACCAAAATTAATTAGTTAAGAATAAAATCAATAATAAAAACACAATAACTTATTGAGTTTCTTTATAGAACTATGTTAGTCCTTAAATATTTGATATAAATCTTTGCTTTTTAGCTTCACGGATCATCTAATTCTAGAGTCTGGAGCTACCGAAAAACTAGACTTAACGTAAATTCTACATCTAGAACTAGCTCTATCTAGATATAATAAACTATTTCAGGCCTTAATTATTTTAACTAAATCTTTGTTTGTTTAGCTATGGGATTGGCTAATTTGGGATAAGTTGAGTTGGGTAGGTGTAGAGTTCACCTGTGACGTCAGTATATGAAGTGAGTGGTCAGACACATGCTCAGCCGAAATATATGAAGTGAGTGGTCAGACACATGTTCAGCCGAAATATATGAAGTGAGTGGTCAGACACATGCTCAGCCGAAATATATGAAGTGAGTGGTCAGACACATGTTCAGCCGAAATCGGTGTTGTTAAAAGACAAAAACGTCTCAGGTGTGACGTGTTTTTTAATGTGGGGTCAGTTTTTTGTGACGATAAGTGACAGACGTGATGTTATTTATGGATAACCCCCGAAATCTACATTTATCCAAAGGATGACGGGTAGTCTAGTCTAATATGAAAAGCTCAAACCGATTCTGTGGCTATATATGTATGTGTTGGAAAGCGGACAGACATGAATATAGTAAAAAACTCGAGTTGTTCACCATTGTGTAATACTCTTACAGTATTTATAATCTAAGTATATGAATAAAAAATAGTATTGATAATTTAGTAATACAACTTTTAATTTTTCAAACTATTTTAATTAACGTTATGTCGATTGAACAAAATCAAAGCAAATGTATCAAGCTTCACAGAAATTTTAAAAGTGTACAAATTACGTTCCTTTCTTTATTTAGTACCTGTTACTTTCCTTGATAGATCACGAAAAAAAATTACTACCCTTTAAATAAATACATCGCGAAAATACCCACTTTTTATTAGTTTGTTTTGGTTTTAGAAAAATATTAAAGAATTAGCATGGATTGATAAAGATTAATGTGGTAGATAAAACCTGTATATTTTAAACAGTGTCTTTTATTTATTTTATACACTGAACATACTGTTTACTAATTATTATTTTTATTCAATAACAGTTCAGAAGCCGCTACTAAATGTCCTGTGTGATTACTTCTATCTTTCCTTTTGTGGACAATCTTGGGGTATTGTTCTCGTTCACTAAATTGAGCCAGGTGCGTCCGCCGGCGCCCCGGCTGGGTGCCATTTGCGCCCCGGGCTATCCTGTTAGCGCTGTGGTGCACACGTTCCTTTTAAACAGTTGGATCGACTATTGATAAAAAGGGTTACTATAGCCGCTCGCTAAATTGAATCCAGGGCGTCTTCCGCCCCCTCCCACAGGGTGCTATTTGGCACCCATGGCCTTACGGTGAGTGCTATGGCACCTATGTTCCTTTTAAACGGTGCGATAGACAATGGATGAGAAGGGTTACTATAGTATTTCACTAAATCGAACTTAGAAGTCCTCCAGCAACCCCACAAGTTGCTTTTTGGCGAAAAAAATACTTTTTATTAGTTTGTTTTTATATTGGAAAAAACTAATAATAATATAATTAACGTGGATTGATAAAGTGCAATGTGGTATATAAAACAGGTATTTAAAATACAACATTTTATTTATTTTATATATTGAAATATACTGTTTACTAATTATTAATTTTTTTTCTATTTTTTTTACAATTTAATATCCAAAGCCTTTTGAATACTATTACAATATTTGTCTCATGAAAGTAAGTATAAAAAAATGTGTTGAAAATAATTTTGGTTGTCATGGAAAGACGACCCAAAAGAACCTCCGCCATTTTGAATATTTCGGTACTTTTAAAAATGCTAAGGCTTTTTTATTTATGCACTTATAGAAATCAAATTTTAATTGCTTATATTTCAGTATTCATCAAAGCTATTGTCACGACAACTTTTTGAAATAGCTACTAATAAGAATTTCACAATGTCTAAAATATCCTAAACTTTTAGTATTCAAAAGTTTCAAACTTTGCATATTAATTATCAAATAATTTTTTCTATGAAAGCCATAACAATTCCCTCGTAACAAAAGTTGTATTTTTGCATGAAGTACAATTACTGAAAATATGGTGGGCATTGTTTAATAAATAAAAAGGTAGTAGGCTTTTAAGTGCTAAAAACCTGCGAACTGAGCAAAACAGCCAAAAGTAACGAAATGTAGGTCACAAAAATACCGTATCTGTGTAAACTGCAAAGCCGAATGTAAACTTTGGGTGTTTTCTAGATGATGGAAATTAAGATTATCAAATACATGAGAAATACAGCTTTCCAATGATGCCAAATACAATACGGTGATGGATATAAAACTTTTCATAGAGAGCTTGTAAGATTAGAAAAACTGATTTTTTTTTAAATTAAAAAGGTCATAAAAATGGTATTTTAAACACATACATTTTTTTTTCTCATTAAAGTTATTATTTTATTAATACAAAAATGGACAAAGTATCCAAAAGTGCATGAAACCCATCATGACGAAAAACAAGAAATTTTGTGATTTTTTACGGCGCATATCCCGTTAAGTTTAAACAACATTTTTGAAGCCGTTCATATATGTCTTCTATGAAGACTTCTATCTTTCCGTTTGCTGAAAGGATGGAATATTATATTTGTTCACTAAACATAATTAGAGTGTCCGCCGGCGCCCCGGCAAGTAGCGATTTGCGCCCCGGGCTATACGGTGAGCGCTATGGTGCATATGTTCGTTTTAAAGAAGTGCGTTAGGCGTTGACTTAAAAGGTTTATTATAGTCGTTCACTAAATCGAATTCAGAGCGTCCTCCGGCGCCCCGACAGGGTGCTATTTGGCGTCCTGGGCCTTCCCGTGAGCGCTACGGCGCCTAGGTTCGGTTTAGTGAGTTCAATAGAATATGGATAAGTTTACTAAGCTTAATCAGGTGGTTCCACCGGCGCCCCGCAAAGATGCAATTGGCGGGGCGCCGGGCTATACTGTGAGCACTATGCTTTTATGTTTGCATTTAAATTTGTGTTTTTTTTCTGCGTTATTGTTCTAGTTTAGATTTGCGTTTGTATTTGTATTTGCATTTGTATTCTTGTTTGTGTTTGTGTTTGTGTTGTGTTTGCGTTTGTGTGTTTGTGTTGTCTTTATGTTTATGATTATGCTTATGTTTACTTTTGTAATTGCGTTAGTGTTTGCGTTTTTGTTTGTGTTTACGTTGTTTGTATTTGCTTTTGTGTGTGCGTGTTATATTTGTGTTTGAGTTTTTGTTTGTGCTTAGGGTTTGCGTTCGTGTATTTGGTAGTTGTGTTAGGGTTAATTTGAAAAATAATATATTTCCTAAACCCGGGAAATACATAGTATTTGCTGCATCTATATATATATATATATATATATATATATATATATATATATATATATATATATATATATATATATATATATATATATATATATATATATATATATATATATATATATATATATATATATATATATATATATATATATAATTACCTGACGTTTAAATCCTTAAGATGATGCAACTTATACAACTTATCCTGACCCCATTCGTTAACTGAATCATACTGGTCTTTATTCTAACCCACTTCGATAATTCACTAATCATAACCCAGTTTTGTTTAAATTATTTAATTAATTATTGATTCTAGCACCCATACTTTAAAAGAATAACGAAACGTACTTGGCATAGAACTCAGTATCGAGGCGATATGGAACATTTTCGCCGCCTGAACAGTTGTTGTAGTCGTCCACACCCAATGCAGAAGTATTAGGGCTTAGCTCTTGGCGAAGTTGACTGACAAGACTCTCACTGCCTTTGGGCAAAATAATGGCACACAATGTAGCCATACAGCGCAACAATTCTTGCGCAGTCTCCGTGTTTTTTGTTAAAAAACAACGGGTGAAGGCGCAAAGCTGGTCACAGTTGGTAAGATTCATCCTTATAGGTTCTGCCACAGCTACGTTAATCAGCCAAAATATCTCAAAGGTCCTGAAATTTCTGGCCAGCGTAAAAGGTTACCTATGGAATGGATACAATTATACTTAGAGTAAAAATCGCATAAATTAAGTCATAAACGGCTTAAGACATCTAATATAAAATGTAAATTGTCCGTAAAATATAATTCGAATATACCAATTAAACATCTTAAATAAAGTTAGTTTTTATTTACAGATTAAAAGAAAGTAGCTTTCTCCACAATAACAGGGTACGTAACATTTTGTTGACACGAAAACTGTGAAGAGTTGCTGAACCTGGCTCTGCTAGATTTCAATAATTTCTTCGAGGTATCCATCGTTGACATTTGTTGTCTGAACACTAATCGTGAAAGGCTGTCCTAACCTTGCCGGATATGACTCTCTTGTAGCGAAATATCCGTTGAGAGACTTCACAAGCTAGCACATCTAAGCGCGTGAAAATTGCTTGTTTTAGTTCCAGCGGTAAAATGTCTCCGATTCATTTCTCTAATTTCACTGTTCTCTAGCTGGGGGAAGTTTGCGAAATTATCGTCATTTTCATTATGGTAGCTTCTTAAGCAAGCCTGTCCCCAGGATACCAGCGAACGTTTGAACGGTACAGAGGTATACCATATTCAGTGCTCATTTCTGTACACAGTTCACTGAAGATGCACTGGCTCAGAGCCACTATTTCACACACAGTTCACATAATTCCACTCATATTTTTAACACGTCTGGCACTTTTGGAGCAAAGCTTTTTTTTTTTGCACATCAGAGTTGGGTGGACTCAGGGACGGTCTAGTGACTTGAACCCGGATTCGAACTCGAGACTTACGGGTTAGCAGTCCAGCTCTCTACCGCTAGACCACTACGTCCCATGACGTCACATAATTTATTTTACAACAATTATGGCGGCTTCCATCGAAGATTTTGTTGCCCATTCAAAAGTGTAACGCATTATAAAGCTAATTTTCTGTCGGCTATAGCTTTAACGATACGCCAGTTTGCTATTTTTACCAATTATCAACAGTTCTTCTAATTTGAGTATAAAATAAATTTCTCTAGATCTACAGATAAGCTGTCGAATGAATGGAAAGTCAATCCTAGATCTAAATCTAGAATTTAGGTCAAACCAAAATTAATTAGTTAAAAATTAAAATCATTATAAAAACACAATAAATTATTGAGTTTCTTTATATAGCTAAGTTAGTCATTAAATATTTTTTATACATCTCTCTTTGTTGAGCTATGGAATTTGCAAATTTGGGATACAAAAAATTGAAATAATACTAGGGACTATTCGCAAAAATCAAGTTTCTTACGAAGGCTCAAAAGTAAAATATTGCACTAAATATGTAGCTAATAGTAAGAGCCAAGATAGTGTAATAGATTACATGCTTGTGGCACGGGTTCGAAACACATCATGTCAATGTTAAATTACTTTTATTTAGGTATGAATGATAAAGTAGCCTATCGGAACTTGGTGGGACACAAGGCAGGTTTAGTAGAGTTTGCATATGAAGGGATAGTGTGGTCAGAGCTATGCTTGGCAGAAATATTTTTTTAACGATAAAAACGTGTTGTCTGAGACTTGGGAGGACACTGGGCAGGGGAATTAGAGTTGGGCAGGTTTAGAGTTCACAAAAGCATGTCTGAGTTGGCGGGACACAGGGCAGGTGAAGTAGAGTCGACCTGTTTTTGTGACCTCAGCATATTACGGGATAGTGTGGTCAGACCCATGCTCAGCCAAAATAGGTATTTTTAAAAGACAAAAAATATCTAAGGTGTAACGTCTTTTTGAATGTGGAGTCTGTTTTTTGTGTGACGATAACTGACAGACGTGATGTCATTTATGGATGACCCCTGAGACCCACAGTTATCCAAGGATAACGGGTAGTCTAGTATAAGTATATTTTTCTCACATAAGTATTATGTTAAATTTGTAGTTCTCTATCAACTTTTCAGCAATTTTTGGTAAACGCCTATAACTTGAGTACTGTTTCTTATAGACGAAATTTCACATTTAAATAAAAGATCTTATTGTCTGTTTGCTGTCAAAATTGGAGTAATTTCCGTAGACCGGATGTAGTGCTTTACGGTATTTATAATTTATAAAAGACGAAAGTGAATTTATTATAAACATGATTATATTTTGTAACCTCCGTCATATTCGGAAAATCGGTGTGTGGTTTGCTGTTAGGCATGCAACTTCGTAAAATACTTTGGTGTATACAAAGCAGAGAACAGGTATCGTAGCCTTTTCATCCAATCTGGCTTTGTGTTCTTCTTATTCCCATATCCATGCAACTTAAGGTTAATTCTCTCCTTTTTTTTTCAGCGCTAGACTAGAATTTCTCAAAGCATTACAAACTAGGCATTACAAATCATGCAATTAGGACGCAGAATCGCTTCCAGACAGTATCAACGTAACTACTGGGACACAATATATATGAAACAAGTTATGATCAGTCGGTGTACGAAATTTTGTTCGTTCTGCGCATGTTTATCACATCAAACGTGGACATGATTCATTAATTATGATTGTCGTGACGTCAATGTTACTTCGATAGAGAAAAAACACCACTTAGATACGTTTTATCTTGGTCTGGTGCACTATTTTACTATATTGTAGCCTACTGTCGCGCTGTCGTATTTCTACTGCCATTAGCCAAGGCCGTTATTTCTATTGTCCACACTGAGAAAATAAGATCATCGTTTTGACCTCCACCCAACCCCTGAGACTGACTCTTTAGAACCCTGGGGTTCGAAGAACCGATGGTTAAAAACCATTAATCAAGACATTTAGTTCGTTGAAGGGAATATAAAACGGGCGTCTAGCTGAAAGTGTTTCTTTTTTCTCTATTTCAAAACACAATTTTAACCTCAAACTCAATCTCAACCTCAACCTCAACCTGAACGTGAACGTGAACGTAAACGTGAACGTAAAAGTAAAAGTAAAAGTAAAAGTAAAAGTAAACGTAAACGTAAACGTAAACGTAAACGTAAACGTAAACGTAAACGTAAACGTAAACGTAAACGTAAACGTAAACGTAAACGTAAACGTAAACGTAAACGTAAACGTAAACGTAAACGTAAACGTAAACGTAAACGTAAACGTAAACGTAAACGTAAACGTAAACGTAAACGTAAACGTAAACGTAAACGTAAACGTAAACGTAAACGTAAACGTAAACGTAAACGTAAACGTAAAGAAAACGTAAACGTAAACGTAAACGTAAACGTAAACGTAAACGTAAACGTAAACGTAAACGTAAACGCAAACGTAAACGTAAACGTAAACGTAAACGTAAACGTAAACGTAAACGTAAACGTAAACGTAAACGTAAACGCAAACGCAAACACAAACGAAAACGTAAACGCAAACGCAAACGTAAACGTAAACGTAAACGTAAACGTAAACGTAAACGTAAACGTAAACGTAAACGTAAACGTAAACGTAAACGTAAACGTAAACGTAAACGTAAACGTAAACGTAAACGTAAACGTAAACGTAAACGTAACCGTAACCGTAACCGTAACCGTAAACGTAAACGTAAACGTAAACGTAAACGTAAACGTAAACGTAAACGTAAACGTAAACGTAAACGTAAACGTAAACGTAAACGTAAACGTAAACGTAAACGTAAACGTAAACGTAAACGTAAACGTAAACGTAAACGTAAACGTAAACGTAAACGTAACCGTAAACGTAAACGTAAACGTAAACGTAAACGTAAACGTAAACGTAAACGTAAACGTAAACGTAAACGTAAACGTAAACGTAAACGTAAACGTAAACGTAAACGTAAACGTAAACGTAAACGTAAACGTAAACGTAAACGTAAACGTAAACGTAAACGTAAACACAAGAAGTTGTGACACATTAATAGATCACTAAACTAACGCTAAACCATAATTTATGTTAAATTTTTAAAGTTGTTTAATACGTTAATATTTACGTTAATCTTTACATGTATAAATAAGTTTATGTTTATGGAAAAAGATTCGAGGGTCTGAATAGTGATAGTAAGTTAAGCATAGTGAAATGGGTATGGTTAGGAGTATTGTTTCTTCCAGACTTTTTTCTCAGGGGGTGGGGGGGGGGGCACTTGATATTTTCGGGGGGGGGGGGGTAGAGATGCCTGGAAGAAACTCTGGTGTTAGGGGCAAGATATAGGATAGCGTTAAGGATATGAAAAGTCAATTTTATTTTTACGGCGACCCCATCCTCCATTTTGAGCATAATAAATGGATAACTCCTAAGTCATGTCTAAATAATGTTACGCTGTATAAATTCGTGATATCCTAGTTTGAAAAACGTAGCTACGTTTGCCAAGATAAAGTCTACCTCCGGATGATTTGACCGTCTAAGGCGGTCAATAGGCTATTGAATGATGACGGTCAGCAAGATTTGAGAACGGCACGAATGGAATAAGTTCGGTAATAACGACGATACTAGTCTATAGTGGCAAACAAGAGGTAGGCTTAGTGTGGGGTAGAATTTGGTTATGGGTAGAGTAAGGTTCTGGCTTGGATTAGTTCGGGATAACGTTAGGTTATTGGTACGGTGAGTTTGTGCTTAGCATGAAAGGTTTTGTTTATATATGCGTATGTCCTGTCACTGAGCAGTTGCCACTGAGATTCAACACATTTTGATATAAAAAGAATCGTATTTAGCTAGTAAGTACACCAACTCTATTGATCTGCTCACAGATTCGAATTAATTTTAAAATACCAATCTCTCACACTTAATGCTTTTTTTAAAGGATGAGAATGGAGGGGGAGGGGGGGGGGGAGGGTGGAATCTTTCATTGTTACATTTGATAATGTCATTTGAATATTTAGCTTTTATATTTCATATTGTGCCCCATATCTGTCTAATGTATAAATTATCCTCAGCGAGTATCAACATATTGACATCTCGAACTCATTGGCTAAGTTTTTATTCTAGTTTTAGATACTATTAGCAAAACAATAGCAAA